TCACCTGCTTGTCAGGCAGTACATGATTAGGCAACTATTCCTCGCTAAAACTGAAGCCTTCGGAGACGCTTTAGCGTTCCCTTCAACTAGGCTTTCAGGCTTCAAATGCAGACGTGGGACGGTAGCTTTGCTTGGTAGAAGAGCGCATTCCTCTGCTCCACCAACGAGCAAGGCAGTGGTGGCCTTTGAAACTGGGCCGCTTGATACTGGTACAAACAAGAGGCTGAAGAAGGTAGTGGCTCGGGTGCCGGACATCAGGGCAATGTTTTCCTCCCCCCCACTCCTACAATTCGGTCGGAAAAAAATTCTTAGCTACCCTTTTGAAAGCTGTTCACACGTGAATACATTTCCAGATAATCACCAAGATGAACTCAGGAGCAAAGGCCGCCAGCGTTTTGCACAACCTAGTACTCGAAAGAAAAGCAATAAAAGGAAGGCTACTGTATTGTAACGGACGAGCCCTGACTCTTAGGCTGCGCCGTGGCTGGCTGAGATATATACTGTACATCATTTATATGCTTATGTGCTGATGTATACAAGAATCTTACAAGGAAGGCTGAGGCTTGAAGTCAGTTGTCGATGCTGTGCTTTATGCTGGCGAAAAAGCTGCGTACGCCTGCTTTCGATTTTCTAGTGGTGTATGCAGCCAACATAGAAGAGCAGGCAGGTAAAGCTTATACTGTAGCGGCCATTATTCTTCGTAAAAGAGAATATAGTGCAGTTGCAGGCAGAAATAGAATATCAGAACAGCAACAGAAAAATGAGATATTTCTAGGGCAGCAGCAATAAGTGAGGCTACTAACACGGCTGCAGCATACTTTTTGCTTGAAGGAGAGAATGCTATTTTCTGGAAACAGGCGCCTTCGTTGAGTGTCGATATGAACGATGAACAATGGTTTCACATTTAAAGTCAGTATCCCCACAGTTTCTTCCTCAAGGCTTTTGCACAAACTCAATTAGGTGAACGCTGAGTAGAGACGTAAATGGACTTACACATGGGTAGCATAGTCTTCAGAAAGTCCTATGCCTGTGTACTCTCTGCCCTTGAGTCCAGGCAAGAAGCCCCTGACTAAGAGTAGGCACGCAGTTTTTACTGTGGAGATAGTATTTTCCCGTCAAGCGAAAGCTAAGCGTTCTTTCAAGTAAGCCGTTGAACACTGGATAGCAGCTCACACAGCTATTTACGAGTGGTGCTCTAGTGCAGAGCACTACAATGCCAGATAAGGAATTCAGTGTACTATATTCTAGAGTATGTGCTTTGGTATGCTCAATAGAAATAATTAGTAGGAAAAGACTTTTTTTTAACCTAGCTACAAGGCCTGGAAACTGTCACTGAGCGGCTTTATCAAGAGATATATATAATGGGTACTTCAGTAGAGCGAAAACTACGGCGAGGCCATACCGACGTTACACCTCAGTCGCCTCAATCTTATTTCGCTCATTATACGCTGCGCCCAGCTTTTGCAGTGATCATCGAGAGGATAGAGCCACCTCCTCACATTCCCAATATGAAAATCAGGAGAATTCATGCCCATCGACGCTTTGGGGGGACTCGGTAAATCAAGGCGTCGCGCTAGTTCTCTCGCTCTTTCCGACCTATTTTTCGTTTCCGAATAGCCTTCTATTCTCAAGAAAAAGCAGCTTTCACGGTGGTTGCCTGCCTGGGAGGTATGGATGGCAGTTGCGCTATCCCGTGAGAGGCAAAATGTTTCAGCTGGGGACCTGATGGGAGCCGCCAGTGGCCAGCGGTGTGGTGCAGGTACATTCCAACCCTCTTGATATAAGTTGTTGTTTTTTCTGTCTATCACTGTGCATGTTCTACGATTTTGCTAGTAGAAGGCCCATAGGACCTCTTTTAGGGAACTGTCTGCCGTGCCAGAGCAGAGGAGGAGAGTCGAGGTCTCGAAGTGTCTAGTCAGCGAAGGTCGAATTTGATAGGGGCTAGGGAGAACACTTTACTTCATAAAGAGAGTCTTTTGAATCCTTGCTGCGTCATGTCACGGAGGGGCCTGCTGATGCTACATAGCAAGGCTCATGGAGACCGGAGATTTCTGTGGATAGGGGGGAAAAGCGCTACTGTGGGCAAATACACTACAGAAGCAAATATGCCCACTAGAGGGTTGCTGGAGACCTGAGGAGTGCCAGGTCTGTGGTGAGCTGCGTCAGGCCTGGTTCCTTCGTGTCTCCTGTTTTGGTGACGTCGGCTTACGCTTTTCTAAACTCGCTGCATTCACCGTTCGAGCACTGAATGGAAAACACAATTACTGCAGGTCCTAATTTAAAGGGTTACTTCTGTTTCCTCCCAATACTTCTCCTTTGTTGCTTGGGGCTTTTTCGCTGGCTTTTTCGCTGCAACTCCGGTGCCTTTTCCAGGCCCAAACCCTAGGCCTAGCTGCAGAGTCCAGTAAGCCTTATCACCTCAAGAGTAACTCCTTCTGCGTGATATTTAATTCTACTTGTACACTTAGGGCCAATCCGCATAGTTAGGCACAAGTCATATTTCTAGTCCCTTTTTCCGTGAAAGGGAGACTATGAAAGACCTGACGTCTGGTTTCAACCCCTTAAGTGGGATCGGTGTCTCGGCAACTGAGTCAGCCCCAAAACCTTAGTAAACGGCTGGCGCTCGTATCCGGTTGGCGGTCCTAGCGGGCTGGCGCTCATAGGTAGCTGGCTCCAGTGGCTAGTCGCTGTATATATAGCCTAATTTCGCCTGATCAATACTGATGTCGCATTCTTTCCTGTTCTTTCCGCGGAACAGGTCACTGTAGGCTCACTATAGGCGCACCAGGGAACCGTTATAGTGCCTGTGCACTGCAGTTTCCAATCCAGCGGGGTAGGCGTTAGTCAAACAAGGGCAGCCAACGCCGCATCAGCACTAAAAAAGGTAAAATCAAGCTTTGATTCCTGTGCCAGTCTTGGCAAAGCAAAATTAAAAAGAAATCACTCCTCAAGGCTTCAGTACAAAAGGCCAAACCGGCAATTATTACTGGAGGCTACAGACTCTCCCTACACAAACCAGCACTGCTGCCGCTCGGGCAACGGCACTGACCGATTCTACGGTAATCTTTTCTTGGCGTAAGAGCAGAATATGTTCAAACAACTAATAGGAACTCACCTACCCGTTGGAAGATACCTACCCTGTTCTGCCGTTTTCTGATGCAATCGGCTGCTGTTTCTTCACTAAGGATCACCCACCGTGTGCTTCTGCAGAGTCGTAGATGGATACCTTCAGCTTTGGGCAAGACCGAAAGTGTTTTGCATAACAACACCTTTTGGTGATATTCTTCTAGTTTGCATTAAGTGACTTTTCACTTTTGCCTCTTTCTAAACACACAAGACCAAGTGGAGATGCTTAGACAAAGCCTGTTAAAAGAAAGCTTTCCTGCCTTACTAAAAGTGAAGGCAATCAGCTGCTTACTCGACAATCATAAGTGAGGCTTACTCTTCGTAGAAAGGCGCATACCTGTGGTAAAGGCCAAAAAGCTGTTCTGCGGCTGATTTGGAGATCTGCTGTTCAGCATCTCAGTATTGTTCTGTCTAACTTTCCTCTAAGTTAGGTAGGACCTTACTAACGTCAAGAGCGCTCTCAAAATAAAAACCAGTTTGTCTTTGGACTGCAAAACTGTAAAAGAATAAGAAGCTTGCTACTAGAGAACAAACTGTGAACAGGAAATGGAAAAGAAGGCTTCACCTGTTCCTCAATAAAAAAGCAGTGAACTTGGGCGAGGTGTTAGCTTCGAAGCACTGCCTCTAGTGACCGACCACACCGTCTCTATATTTTTCGTAGGGGAGCTTAGTTGGTAGGAAGAGAGAAAAAACAGTTGCATATGGGGGAAGCTATATGGCACACTGTCTTAACCCCACGGAACTGGGCACCTGACAAATACTTCCAGCTGGTATTCATTGTTAAACGCCCAACCTAGCCTTCACCTCGTTCTTCTACTCAGTCCATTAGGGGTACGGTCACATGAATCGTCATGCGAAGGCGCCGAACGAACAACTCGTGAGATTGGTTGCTTTTGCTTGACAAGAATTTTTGGTTCAATTTCTTCTCGCGGGCGTGGGCTGCTGGAATTATGTGAGAATGCAAGCAAATTCGCGTTGAATCTCGAACAAAAATGGAAAGAATAACTCAATGGAAGAAAGCAGGAGAACAGGGAAGCTGGAGATTTGGCTTTTAGCCTCTAAAGCCCACTAACGTCAAAAAACGGACCTTGACATGCCAACGAAGCTGGCGAAAAAAAAGAAAATTCCAGGCTAACAAGCTGTGCAAAACAGCTCAAAAAGATCCAACTGGGTGTATGGATCCTCATGCACGGAATCAGTACTACGAAAACGTCCGTAACACTGTTAGAACCCCTGCAACATCCAGCATTCAGCTCGAGGGAGGCAGCGCAACGACTGCAGCGGGGAAAACTGCAACAAACTAGAGCAAGCAAGAATGCCCTGAGGCTCGTGGGACATTCAGAGAAACTGGCAGTGCAGGAAATTTAGTAGCTATCGAGACCAAACATGCCCATACTGGAGTTGTAACCGCGGTTCAGTCCCCAAAGAGACAGCTGGGCCCACTGCTCATTCAGGCAGACAGCGTGCAATTGCAGAACAAAATAACTTTCGCTTATTTGGGAATCGACTTGCAGTAAGCTGCTCATGACAGGTATACGAGCAGAAGAGAGGACAGCGAAGCGCGCCCATCGTGCAATGGGGAACCTCCAACCGTGTGCTGATGATCTCAGGGCCTCAGTTGGTATTATTGCTTGAATTTCCATTCTAATGCTTTTGCTTGTTATCAATGCAGTTTTAGCGTCATCTCTGTTACGGCTGCTTTCTCTTCCAGTTTCTCTGACCGCTGGCATGCCAAGTAGCGCACGGTAAACCCCAGAGGTGTTGCAACGTAACTCGAAGAGCCGTCTTCACACCTTATCTTCCCAAATAAGCTCTATTTTAATTTCTGAATTGTATAAAATTTGGCGCCTTACGACGCGTACTGCCACGCAAACATGTCGGCGCCTGGGGGCGATGGCGGTTGGATTCGCTCCCTTTTCGGGGGCGCAATGACCTGTGACATTCCAGAATTTTTGGATGACATGAGGTAGGTGTGTTTACTGCGGCTTTTTCTAGTATATAGCTGGCATTCCACCTCAGTTGGCGCAGCTGTGTGCCTCTAGGACTACTGCTGAATACTCAAACTGGTGTCTACTGAAAATTCCAAAACTTACTCAAAAATACAGACCCTGCGAATGGCGTGCTGTTGGACTGCAGCAAAATAATGATTGTTCCTGACCAGCAAGAGGCGTTCGTTAACGACGATGGGAGCATAAGTGTCATCATCGAGGTACTGGAACATCAACCGGTGCCGGACACACAGGCTGCCGAGTGGGTCGACCCATTTTTCTCATGTTGAAGGCAACATCATTCGGGACATTGTCTGCAGAGTGTTCGCTCAATGTTGCTTAGCCGATACGCGGTACGCGCCCGTCTTCATGTCATGTAGTACAGCTCTGTGGGCGGAGCTTTGGATCGTAACAGGTTCTTTTTCAACGACCTCATGGCTGAAAACTCCTCTCTGTCCTCAAGAATCTTGGATACGTCGATTGTGCCCAAGGAAGAGCCCCCCATGCAAGGACAGTGAGAAAACTTGAAGGAACTGGATGTCCAGAGAAATTGCAACATTCAAAAAAGCTGTCCTTGTCCTACGATACCAGCCACGTACCTTCACGCATTTCGTTTGGATTGTAGAGGCCGAGTAAAGTGCAGCCGCCAAATTGGGCATTGCTAGGAGTGTGCCTTTGGTTTTTTTTTGTTCAACAGCGCGCTTGCATTTCTTAAGGGGGAGTTCCAAGTTCAGAAGAAACGTGCTGCAAGGCCTGACCACGTACTGGTGCGGCTGGCAATCGTACGAATCCCAGGTTCGCTATATTCGGTACAACCTGTAAATGGGTTTCCTCGTGAGTAGTCATGGGGTCTTGAGCATCCAAGTCCATGAGGAGTCAAAGTTCATTGCCTTGCCTCATGCCGTTTATGTAGGCATTTCGGCGTGTTTTGTCTACGTTCCATTCAGAGCACCGCGCGGATATAGTCATCTCCATGAACGAAAGAGTAACTGAAACTGCGGACGGACATGGGAATCATGCAGAAATAGGCGCAGCAGGATCATTGGATGACGCATTTCGCCTAATTGTTGAATCATTTAGAATCCTCGACTATGGTTTATTTACTTAGTGGGGTATGCATCCCACGCTGGGTGTTGGGGTGTACAACCGCACCAAAGATAGAAACCCCCACATGGCGAGGCACAATCCGTTTGAATTCGCCTTCAGCCTCATTGCTTCACAATTGCGAGATCCCTGAGACGGATCATGATCTTTCACGTGAAATATAATTGTTTTTGTGGCACAACAGATATTTAACACTGGAAAGGTCGTCACTGGTGTCATCCTGTTGGCTGCATCATTGGACTACCGTGCAAAGTAACAGGAGGACTTCTCTATTTTTTTAATATATATACAATTCTCTTGGAGCTGCATGCGTTGATCCGTTGCTTAGTTCGAGCAGTGTGAGATCAGCCATCAACCGGCTAAAATCATGCTCAAGCTCTGGGCATGGTCCTGGTACCAGACGCTAACATTATGTGCAGCAACAACCGTTGACCTCGGCTTCCCACAAGGCATTATGGGTCTATTTGGCTTGCAGATGAGGCCACACGGAAAATCAGTAGGCAATTTGAGCTTCGGAGGATCACAGAACTGCAATTTTTCTGATTTCAAAGGCAGTTTCCCGTGACTCGCGCTTCCTGTCTGTGCAGACAGATGCAGCGGAGGATTCGTTAACTGATAGGCACGATGATATCCGGGCTCAGTTCGAGGTTATTTTTTTGCACTGGCCTTAAGAGTGCCCGGCTAAACGCAAGCGTTCAGGTGTTGAATACAGACCGGTACGACCAGCTGCTTTTGTCGGCACGACGGAAACGCCACTCAGCTGCCCAGATATTGGCGGCTGCAAAACGTGAGGACTTACCTCTCTGAGATACACGACAGTCTACTTAACGAATATACCAGGTAGTGGAGCGGGGCCTCCAGAGCGGCCATTTGACGGTGGGAAGGAAGTTGCAACGGGCACTTCGGAGGAGGTGTCAACATTGAGAGCGTATGCCACCGATACGAACGAGTTCTTTACAGTGTAGCACCCTTACGTGCATTGATTGCTTAGCTACAACATGAAACAAGCGGCTCTCCTGCAAGCCGAGGCTGAGAATGAGGAGCGTATGTTAGCTGCTCTTCATGGGTTGCTCTATCCTAGATATCTGCTGAACGGCAGGTGAAGCGATGCGAATAAAGTCGATGGTGGAAGCTGTTAGGCTGTCTTTGTCCAGCGGTGAAGAAGGCTCTTTGCCAGGTATGACTGGGCATTCGCCCTCCGTTTCTGCGAGTTGAGCACTTCATAGGCGCCCCCTGCAGAATGTGAAATTCTGAAAATAGGGCCCCTGATCTTTGTTCCTGATGTAAGCCCGTGGTCTGTAATGCTGGCGTGGCTGTTCGCCTACTGATACTCCTGCGTGCTCTTTCCAGCCTGACGAGCTTCTGCACAATAATTCGAGGTCAGTTCTTCGCAGCCTCTTCCGCAGTGCGCCCTAGTATTCCCCACTAGCAACATGGCGCAAGTCACTGGATCGGCGCTCACTTTGTACCACAACAAAGAGCTCAAAAAGTTGGACACTTTCTAGCTTCTGCTGTCGCCGCAATTTACAACCAACCACTTTTTCTTCTGAGCAGCACTTACTTTTGGGAAGGCGTGGAACTCCCTGTCAAAGCAACTGAAGATTCTCCCAACTGTGGGGCTGTCTGTACTTCACAACTCCTTGCAGTTATGAAAATCGTGCTCCCGTTTCAGGTCTCGCATTTCACTATAGAGCGTCAGAGCAAGTGCTCTGTGCAACTTCGCCAAGTGCTCGTGATAGTTGGATCGACGGTGAGCTGTTGCAGCATGGGGGCCTTACGAGCCATATCTAGTGCATGTGACGGTCTCAGCTTTCACTGAGGCGTGGTTCTGTAGACATATGGGCATTAAGGGTAAGACGGTTTTTGGCGTATGGTTGTTCTGTGGTAGAGTACGCTTTGGAATATCAGGGACTCTGCCGAGCATTAAAGGTGCTGAACGAGGTACTGTTTATTCTGGCCATCCACATTCTGCAATTTGCTTTACATTACACTACGCGGCAGAAGCACAGCTTGAAGTCATTCCTCCTGTTAGTTGTTGGAGCTTTTCAGCATACATTTTAAAGGTATTTCACCTGCTTCCAAGCAGCCACCGCAGAAGCCTGAAGAAGGCACCAACGCTGCGGTGAATGTCGATTTCTCTGTCGATGCCAATCATAAGATCAGAGTGAAGGCAAGTGCTAGCCATCCAACACAAACCAAATCCTCGTACAAAGCGTGCTTCGCAACAGGTGAATGGCACGGAGCACCCTGCGGGTAAGGACGAGATGTTCTAACTAATACCTCTGACACCACGAATACGCATCTTCTAGGAGAGCGCATTATGCTGGATACCCAAAAACTCGCAAAAGAGGCCGCCGCACAGGCGGAGGAACAGGCCGTAACTAAAGCAGCAATGGAAATATCCAAGCGGGCGGAAAAAGTAGCAACCAGTGGCAAAGCAATAGAGAGCTCTGAATATACCCCATCCAATGAAGGAATGGAAGCGGATTCGGGGGAATTGAATGTGCCGACAGAAACAACAGAAACAGAAGAAGAAAGCGACGAAGAAGACTTGCCAGACGAATAGTTGCCACTTGTTCCGTACCTTCGGCTGGACTGTGTGGACTACTCATGAAACAGTCTTAACACCGCAACTCAGTGCCAGCCTACCATGAGTCTCCATCCTTCTTTTGATGGAACTGGCCACAGTGGCTTGAATGGCTTGCTTGTGCTTGCTAAAGAAAACGGCAAAGCAATAATAAGCGGAATGATGCTGATACACAATTGAGTAGGGGCAATCTCTCAATAGTTTTTGAACGCCTCGCAGAAGTATGGAGCTTCTGCCTTAAGTTTTGGTCTTTGAGAAAGTCTGAAGTGCTGCCTAGAGATGGAAGTGCGCAGCATTGCTTCGAAGCACAGGGTTCCAAATGCAAGCAGAAATAGAGGGCACGAGACACACAGAAAAGAATGTGCTGCAGATGAGCCACGAGCACCTCAAAGAATCTGCATTTTGTTCTGGTCTCTGAAGTGCTGACCAAAAGTGGAAGTGTGTAACATTGCTTTGAAGCACAAGGCTCGCAATGCGAGCAAAAATGAAGGACACAGGCACACAGGATGGGCTGCGTTGCAGATAAACCTCTAAAAATGGGACGCAGGAGCTCTACGCTGCTGCAGAAAAACACCTGTTCCAAAGCTTACGTAGCAGGCGTGCGCAGTTGGGACGTCTATGTTGCTGCTTATACGCGGGTTACTAAACGCCTATCACTCTGAAGCCTGTGCGGGCTTCGACTCGGCTTCTTGCTCTGTGTTATTCTGGGGATCATCCCCATTACCTTCCACCGACCCCTGAACTTGCTCTACTGACGGATCTGCTGCGGAGCCTTCGACTGCAGCCTGTTCTTGTTCGCCTTCTGCTTCTTTCTCTTCCTTCGGGGGGGCATCTCCAGCCGGCTGGTTGGCCTGCTTGCGCGGTTTTGCCCAGTAACAGCAATCAACGAGTATGGTTACGGTACTATTGTTCTTCATCCCCGCGTCCTTCAGGACTTGTGAGTCGTCAAACAACATGTTGTTGTTAAATGTGAGCCTGATCTTATCCGCGCTATACCTGGAATAAACAATCGGTCGCAGGCACCTCATTGACAACGTACTCACGGGCCGCAATAAACAGCATTCAGGAAACAGAAATGCGTCTATAACGATTCGCGACCTTCTTTACCTGTCCGGGTCGTCTAGTTCCTCGGCAACTCTTTGTTTAAGGTCGCCCACTGTTTCATGGGAGGCGATGGTCACATTTATTGTCTGGCGACAAAGGAAAGACCAGATCGGAATGCAGACGCAAGCTCCGGCTCCACAGTCTGCAGACACATAGAACTAGTTGCGTGGAATTTGTTTTCTAAACAGAGCACAGACAGGCATAAAGGTAGGCTTGGCTTCCAACGCCGACAGGGAGGGGTGCAGGACCAAAACCTACACAGAGGAGGAAGCACTCACTCTGGAGAGTTTTAACCTTGAGATTTAGATCCACACGTTCGTACACATCTACCGATAGCTTTGACCTGCCAGACTTGTTGTAATCCTTGAGTAGTTTGTCGTCCCGTAAAACGAGAGAACCGATGAACAGTAGTATGGACTCTGGCTTCAAGTCAGAGGCATCCAAAGCTTGAATTACAGACTTTTTCACTTCAATTATAGGCGAGGTCATCTGTATATGGGGTAGCTCAAACTTCTTCCCATTGTTGCCCTTGGTCCAGTCACTTAGGACCAGCGTCACTTCCGTGGTCGGCATCTTGTTGTATAGAGATACAACAGCTGAAAAAAGACAGAATAGCAACAGTAAAACGTATTTATAGCGCAGGAAAACTTGCGAAACAAAGTGAGCTTCGGATTCGCTGTGAGCTGGGATGAGCGCAGCGGCGCTGTAGTGGGATAAGTAGATGCAGTCTGCGGGCACTCACGGGCTCAAAATAGCTTTCCTAGGCTTTCCAAATATCCAAAAGTGTTATAAATGGCAAAAGGTTGAAGTTTGGAATCAGTGAGCTCTCTTCAGGGAGACATGACAGGAGGTTGCGATCGCCTCGGGGTTCAACCGTCGTGGGCGTGGACAGCCGCAGCTCAGCAGCAACCTGACTTGAACCACTGCAGTTTGCTCAAACCCCATATCTAGCCACTAAAAATTAAAAGTTACAAGCACTTCTATTCCAACGTATCTTGCTGATGTGGCAACTTTGGCTCTAAAATTTGATCTCTTCCCTGACCAAGTCCCTGTGGCTAACGAGCATAAAGCAAGCTGCATCAGGAGGCCGATTTAAAGTCGAGTTTGAGGGGAATGGAGACTTTTTTGAGCTCCTGAGTAACGATTATTTTGAGTGGTGTGGGTTATCACTACTGTGGTGAGCTCTTGTGACTAAGAAAACTCAGAAGGGCTCGGTGGTGGTCGTCGTCGCAGCCGCCGATGCTCGTCAAGCCCTGGCTTGCTGTGGGTAAGCTCGCTGCCTGGCTGAGCCACTTCCATGACTTCACAGAAACTGTTCTTTGAGGGGAAAAAACGAACTTTTCCTCGAAGGCGGTGGAATATCAGAGACTCTTGTCGAAGATCATTGTTAACTCGGTGGGTTATGCACAACCAACACGTCGCCGACACCGCAGTTCAGCCTTCGTCGACGTTTTAGAATTTTCGGCCTGCAGGGGATTTCCAGAAAATACATATACCTTTTCATGTCATCTCGCATAGTAAATTGGTTTATATATGAGGAGTATATCCAAGGAAGCTGCAAGAAGGATGCAGGATGCAGAAAAGATGTGTGCCCGCCGTCTCATCCAACTGGCGAGGCATCGCGCGAGCGGGATGCCATCCCACCATAATGTGATAAACTGCAGGCTTCCGTTCAAGCCGACTGTTTCTAGATTATGTGTGCATGACTCTCATGGTGGGAAGATTTGTGTGACTCTTCCTGTTTGTCTTCGTGCTCTCGTCTCGGGGTATCATCGACTGGCTGGTTCGACAGACGGCCATGCATTTACCGCGAGGAAACTGCAAGCCTGATTGGCAAGTCTTAACTGACATATTTCATCACGAATTTTCATTCGAGTCCTGTGTCCTGCGTGCGTTCTTAGGACTCATTTTAGCGTGCCTGTCCTAAATCCCTATTGAGGTTACACCATTTGGCGTTCTTGGAGCTAGGAAGATGTCTCAAGAAGCCTCCGGATGCGGCACTGTGCCGTTTTGCGGGTCACTCACCTGCGACGCTGTCAGCTGCGAGGCTGAACAGGTGCAGCGCGCACATATTCGCCTGCAGGCTGACCAGCCGGTCGTCCCTGTGCCTGTCTATCAGGAAATCCAGAAACGGGATAAGTACATAGAGGTTCCCCAAGTGGAAGTCAAGGATTCCATTGTTCCAAAAGTTTACAACCAATCTGCCGTCCACGATGTTCCCAAAGTACATGTAGAATGTGGCGAGAAGAACGTTGCCATTGAAAGCGAAAAAATCGTAGAGAGGTGAGGTTTCTCCCTCCCGTTTCCGCGCTAACAGCAGTACACATATTTGTGCTAGCAATTGAAGACTATTTGGAGCTTTAAGGAAGACGCAGTTTGCTGAATGTTCCTGCAGAGAAGTCGATGTTCCAATCCACGTGGGCTATGCGCCACAGTTTGTCCCCAAGTGGGATATTCGTGAAGTGCCGAGGCCGGTGCCTAAGTACGAGGGTGAGCAACAAGTTATTGAGGTAGAAGTTCCCCAAATCGAATACAAGGATACTTATGTGGAGAAGGAGGTGGTCGTGGACATCAAGGAAAAAATTGTCCCCAAGGTGACAGAAGTCGTCAAGGAAGTAGAGGTGATGCAATATGAATGGAAGGAAAAGTACCAGGATGTCCCAGTATACAAATACGTGCCAAAATTCGACGTGGAGCTTGACTGTCCCCCGCCTCTGATTGTACCGTACACGGAGACTCGTTATGTCCAAGATGAACCTGAAACGTCGAACCCGTACTGCGGTTGGTCAGCATGTTGCACGAAAGTGCACCAGGAGCCTCATATCAAAACAGTAGAAACAGCGGTCCGCAGCGAGCAACAACGGCTCTACCCAGGTACAATGTCGCTCTCTCTTAGCCCCATTGAGCAGTCGCGGCGCTCAGCGCTCAACGGGTGTGAGCATCAGTGGGTCTGTAGTGTGTTCTACTTGTAATGGTCCAGGCTCTGCCCACCTAAGTGAAGCAAACGTGAAGTATCCTGGCAATCAAGATTTTTCCACGCATTTCCAGAAGAACACGGAGGAACGCGTTCTTAGAGGAAGTAGCGTCATTGATGGTCCTGTTCGTCAGGCGACTTTATCCCAGCTTACGCCGGGCCCTGTTTTTCCACGGCCTACTCCCCAGGTGAGACTCCATGCCAACAGTGCAAACAATGCCCGCTTTTATACGCAAATCTTGAGCGCGCTCAGTGTGAGCAATGCTCTAGCCTCCTCTCGATACGCAACGCATATGTTGACGCTGTTCTGTTCACGGGGTGCTTTTCTTAGGTTGGTGCGTCTGAGAAGCCAAAGAGCAGTGGCGCTCGTTTAAGCGATAAAAAGCCCAGCTTCTGGAGCTGGCTGACTGGAAAAAAGGAGGAGCCAGAGACGCCGACCCAAGTCAGCAAGTTCGGATACCCCGAAAACATGCCATCAGATTTCGCTGCCGCATTTCAGAACCAAGGTTCCGCTGACGCTGGGGAACCACAGCCAAATCCAACAGGTGAGAAACATGTGGTGAAGACTGTCTTAAGGTCTTTCGTCTTGTAGCGAAAGGGCTCGCTCAAAGTATTGGGCACAGTTTTGTCCGGTCTGAGGATGCACGCACGCCCATAGCTTTGCTTTGTGTTGACGCTTCATGTGTGATTACAGAGCTTGGAGGGGTTCCAGATGAGAAGGATAAGCAGTCTGACGAGCTGGAACCAACTGTTGTTTACCGCGGCGCAGTGAATAAGCCCCCTGAATACGGCGGCGAGCTTGACCCGATTTCCTTCAAGTTGCACGCCATAGAAATCCATCAGTTCGTCCCCCTTCCTAACATGGAAGCCCCAGAATTTGTGAAGGCACTCTCGAACGGCATCATGACAAGTGACGTTTCTGGTCTCGAAAAGTTCTTTGGTGGCCATGTGCCTCCTGGATGGGCTGACCCCGACATCACTGGTATTCCCGCTACCACAATGAGCGACATTCTGTCAGGAAATGCCCAGAACGTTGCAGTTATGAGCCCATTGGTGTGCCAGCTGTCTTCACAATTTGCAAAGCAGGGTTTTGTGCCCGGAGGTACACAAGAAATGACACAAGTTGGATCCTTCAAACGTAATACTTCCCAACCCCAGCCTCAGTCCTGAGTGGTGAAAATGGAGCATCAGACGACAGGATTGATTGATTCTCCTTCCATAGCGGTGAAGATGGTCGAACTGGTGACGCTTCGCTGCTGAAGATTTGTCTCCAGCGAGGAGAACAGCCGAGCAGCCGCCCACTCGTCTGCTGCCACAATTCTCATTTAGTATTATGCAGCGTACTGTGCACAACGCACAGAGCCCACGTGCACAAGCCGCCAAATCGCGGATGCAAGCCATCGTGAGCATGCAACTTACACAGCTACGGTGTTTTTCACTGCCGTTCTAAACCCTCCCTGTAAGGGGACCATTAACTGATCAACATTTCCTTCGTTATCGCGTCGTAATGCTACAGACAGACGAGAAACGTCCCTACAAAGTCGACAGCGTTGCGGTTGACAGCAAAGCAAGTCGTTACCTGATGTGTACAGTACACCAAGGCAAGCGTTTAGGCTTGTCTAGCGAAATCCTCTGATAAAAAAGGATTCGGAGACATGTGCGCAAGAAACCTGACAGCAAATGTAATTTGCTGTCTTTTACGTTGCACAGTTCCAGCAAATACATAGTTTGTTCAGCACGTTGGAGCTACCGTCCACTTTTCAGAAGTTGCTTCCATGAAGTCACAGCTTGTCGGTTGTCTGGTGCGGGAAGATGCTTGGAAAGTCTTGAGATGAGTCCAGACCCCACCACCCAGGAATGCGCAACGGATGCTCAAAATTGTCCGGAAGCAAATCTACTTTTCTGCTTGCTTTCATGCAAGCACAATTTCGAATTAAAGAATCTAGCCCTGTCTGGTCTTTGGTGGGGTCAATTTTTGTCTGCAGAGAAAACCACTCCCACAATTTAGCATTAATGAATGACTGCCACTGTCCTAATTGAATCGCAGACCAATCTATCAGCTTTGGCACTGCTCACCAGTGGCGATGGAAACAAGCCACGGCCGAAACAGCTCAGTATAAAGTCAAATCCATCTGTTGACCCTCGGAGAAATTTGAAGAAGTCATCTGTGTTACATGCCTCTGCCTCCCTTTGCGTGAGCAGCAACTGAAAAATAATATAACACGCGGGCTTCGTACAATTTAAAAGGATTCTCACAGCCAAAGACAGATCCAATGAATAGGCTGCGACAGCTTCGAAAAGTACTGTGTATGCCTGGCTGTACCCGTTTGGCGTTGAACTGAGGCGTGCATATAGCACACAAGTATGAAGACTGAGACAGTCCGGACGCTTGGGCTGCACCCATTTTGTTATCGCTGTTGCTGCTCAAGCAGTAGATGTGGAACGAGTGACCACAGCGAAAGTGTATGGAAGGGAGCTCGATTGGAAGGAAGCAAAAGTCGCAACGTTCTGACTCGAAAACTTGGGCTGCAGCATCGAAGCAAAGTATATATGACAATGTATTCCCATGCAAAGGCGTGACAGCCAGTGCTTCAACAAGCTAACACGGTTGGAAGTGTCTGCGGCTGCACCTATTTTATGCTTGATGTAAGCGCAACCGTTAACGCAACCCCCGAGGTCTGCGTCAGTGTATGCAGCTGAAAGCTTAAGGCACAGAGGCATTGTTCTGCGTAACTACCACTTGGGCTTCACCTTGGTTCCTGAAGCGTTCAATTTCCTCAGCCATGTGCGAAACTTCCGCTCTATCACTTTGCAAAAGCTCATGGGAGTGTTCCAATTGATCACTGAGGTCATCACTCGCTCGCAGGAAGTAATCCTGAGAAAGACAAGGCTCTCATCAAGAGTTGCCACCGGCAAATTAATAATTTTTAAAACACGATGCTGCGAATTTTGGGCTCCTATGACGCGCCCGTGGCAGCGACCATCCAAAACTGGGCACGCATACCTTAACAGCATCCAATGTGACTGCTGGGCTCTGCTGCAAAATCTCCAAAACTGTCAACGGTGGTAGCAGGCGATACCGCTGCAAATACGAAGCAACGACACAGCTAGGGGCCAAGTGCTCCCCAACGCAGACCAAGCCGGTCCTGCTGATTTCGCGCTTCCAAAAAGAATCTACCCAAGTACTGACGAAACCAGAAATTACCTCGATGTGCATGAGTACTTCTCGGATTTGACGCTCTGTCCCTCTTCGACTGAAACAGGCATATGACAAAGGTGGGTTTGCAAACCTTTTAACGCTCCTTCTACGAGAGGGGAACCCCCTAGCAAGCATTATAGCCGGCCAAGAGTTGGCTCACGAAGCAAGTATGTTCAACGTTTGTGTCCACAGTATGGGAGCCTTAGATCCATTCTTCATACAGAACCGAAGAAGGCTTGAAATGTCATCGGTGGCTTCGAAGTACGCAACTGGAAGCTGTAGCTCATCCCGCTTCTCGCACTCAAGTGCCACTCCTTCTTCAAATCCAAAAATCGTGCATAGTACAGTTGAACGGAATTGTTCTTCATGTGTCTGGATAAATCCAAACAGCAAGCACGCAGTGGATGCTCCCTGCCAAGGTAAAACTACCCAGACCCAAATGGAAATGCCAGGACCAAAATGCACTCACCATTGATCGGCTCTTAAGAGTTTTCAAAAGTATTTCCGTGCGCAAGGACGACATTTCCAAAGATTTTTCTTCAATACCAGTGCCTTGAAAACCGCGATGGCCATCTTCCAGGCAGTCTGAACCTCCACTTTCTCCTTGATGAGAAAGATGTGACGCATGCCACTTACCTGAAATATCCAATACAACCCCAAAATTTTCCGCTGCATGCCACGACGGAACTATCTCTTTCTTGGTGGCAATACAGTGTGCCTAACACGCTGCATGGCGCAGCGAAAGCTCTTAGAGTATGCAACCTCATAATGGAACAAGAAAGGAGACAACGATTGAAATTGGAAACACAAGATTGATGCAACTAGCCTCGCACTCAATGTAAGCTCTTCCTGCCCGTCTCACATCCTACAACATCTGCAACTCTCCCTGGGGGAAAAACGTGTACAGGCGTACGAAGAAGCAGCTCCAAAAGTGAGGAAAATGCGGTGCACCCAAATATTGATGGATTGGCAGATATCGCCACACGCGCCTCCTCAATTGCCGCATTCAATCTTGAGTTATTGCAAAGAGCTTCGTGCTGCGGAACTAAGCGTCTCGCCACCGATACTCCATGCAGTAAAAACGAAAGAAAGAGTAGAAGCAAATCAGAGTCGTCGACAAAGAGCGGGATGAAAACTTCGACGCTGCATGATACGAAAAGGGAAATAAACACGAACAAGTGCTAAGAAGCTATAAGAGCTCACGTGCTGAAACCAAATGGCATACTGTATTGAAAGAAAAAGGCATGCACACGGGCGACGCCGCTAACTACGAGGCTGGAAACATGAGCAACTTGGCTGCCCATACCTGGTATGGTAGTCCTTAATAAACTGGCTCAAGAGGAGAAGCACGTCACTTGCGCTGTGCCTGAGGAGGGTGCTGCCGTGCTTTAGCAAGAGGGAGCACGCAGTTGGCGCATCAACCTGCTTCAAGAGATCGACGGCTTTTGTAAATTCCCTGAGAATTGATAAAACGGACAGGAGTACTATATAACTTCCGAGGCCATGTTAGCCATTGCAGCAAAATACGTTGCCATGGCTTAGCAACATTCTCATCTGTATCTGCTCTAGAATGCCATGTTGCTCACTGAGTTTCTAACAGCAACGACAGGTGCTCGTCATGGTATCCATGACGACTGGCAATTCTGCAAGCGAGTTCCGTGTCTCCTGAGCGAAAATTGCTCGCATGCGGCTTTCAAGTCTACTTAGGTATCCCTGCTGCTGAAAATGTGCAGGTGTACGCATCGCCAGCGGCCAGACAGTGGACTGCACAGTGCAGAAAACATACATTCCAAGGTGAGTGCCTTATATTTGAAATTGATGAAATACGCTATTCCATGCGTTAAATACACACATGCCAACTCACCCGCCACAAAACACCGAAAACAAACTGAATGTATGTAGTGCTTGCAACTGACCGTTTAATCGACACTCGTTAAGTGCTACCGTGAGACAGCAAGTCTTGCTGATGCGCGGGTCTTCCAGGAAACTGGCGAGGAGCGAATCGTCTTTCAACCTGGAAGTGCACTTGAAGAACAAAAGCGTATGCTGTTGCATGGCGCAGCCTGCTAGGTGTAGGTGCAGCAAGTAGAGTGCAAGATGCCTCAATTCTTGGGCATCGAGTAGTTTCTGAATAACCGCAGACGGCTCCAGGAATCCTGTTAAATCATTTTCACACAGGGGTTGAGCAAATATACAGCCACTCTGAAGCCCTTTTGGTTCGAACTGACAAATCCAGCTCAGAATTGCTGAAACACTCACCAATCGTCTTTATATACATTTCTACGGCTTTATCAGGCATGTTCTTGGAGTACAGCCAGTCTCCATGAAGCCGATACACTTCCTACAGCATATTCATTCGAGCCAACAGCCGGCCTCCTCAATATATGGCTTCTGAAACACGTTGTTCTCCCTTAACGGAAGACAACATCACGACCTGCCAACTCTCGAAGCCGCTAAGTACAAACAAGTCCACAAATTTACCAACCGTGGCTGATGGCCAGTTACTTGCGTACTCAAGTTACCTGCAAAACTTGCTGAGGCTGACGATCTTGAATTGCGACTTCAGCGGCCCAATTAAACAGTCGTTTCCTGAAGAGTGCAATCACACAGCGCAGCGCGCTAACTCCAGCAACCTGAGTACGAAATCACTTGCCGCTGCAAGCATGTGCCTAGGCCACTGGAGCTCCCAACTCCCCTACCGCAGCAGGATGCTCAGGCGCTCATCAAAACTCTTCTCCTTCACATCAAATAGCACGTTACAATCAGTTGAACCCCCTCGAGCGATGACGAACAGGGTGTCCTGCGGCGCACACACCTTCTCAGGAACTCAGAATATGCGCGCACAGGTAATTTTGGCGAGGTCCAGTCCACGGTTCGCACCATCAGTGCCACAGCACATGAACATTAGCTTGCATGGCTACAATGTTTAAGGCTAAAATACTTGGAATTATTTGAGAAAAAAATTCTACAGAGGGCCACGTACCATTGCCGAGACCACGTGCATAACACCCCGCATTTGCGAAGAGTATGCTATGAGTCGCAAGTCAGGGTAGCACAGGTGAATTGTTAGTGTTTCGTGTTTCTGAGAGGTAACATCAACGCAGAAGGCGTGCTTATGAGAGCCTTAATATGCTAAACGCTCTATGGGCACAAAGTACTCCTGATTCGATGGTCTATCGATATTGCTGCAAACTGAAGACTACACATTTACAACACATACAGCCAGCACTCACAGCATTTTTTGACAACAATGGAAAAGGTTCGGTCGAGCCTTCGGACGAGCCCGCGTTGGTCAGTTCGCCGTCGACAGGAGCTTGTTCTGTTGTGACGGAGACTATATAGGACCTGTGGGTGGCCAAGATGTGGCAGCGTCCTTCCGCTGGAAGTGCCCACAAGTTACCTGAAAACATTCTTGCACGCCAACAAAAGCCACAATTTCGGCGCGTTAGTCCCAACAACGTGCAGACTGCTTTATTTTCGGCAGCAATATCTCTCAACATTGTGCAAGCAATGTCGTTGTGCGCGTGAGGAATCGGCTGGAAGTGCACCGCTTGCCTTGATCTGGATCGACGCAAAAGATCCCCTCGTCGTGATGCACAACAAACGTGCCGAGAGAAGGCAGTACGCTTACGACTAAACGAGACGCAGCTGGAACAATGTCTGTGTGCGAGACCTACACAGTAGCACGAGAAAATTCGCAAGCATAGAAAGCAGGTGCGAGTTAGCCATTTGTCTTGGCCAGAGTGCCGACAAAGTGCACTAGTATGATCACGAACTAGAAAAAGTCAGTGCGGCAACCTCAAAACAATCTTTCTCAGGGAGTATCAACACATGCACAGGTCCCGACGTATACTTCCTGGAAGCATTCGTAACAAACCTTCGGCTCCCCTCGCAGAGGTACGGAGTAACATTTTATTGAAGTGGTGTAACAGACGAGCATGTAGTAGACTTTTGCATCAGCTGGCGAAGCCAAGAAACGAACGCTCGTGACAGTCTCGTCGCTTTCTCTGAAATACCACAGCTCATAGTTTGATGTACACACAGCATTACATCGGAAAACAGCAGACGTCGCAGAACACGATGAAAGCGCAAATGCTAATGAATGCGCCATTTATATTTTGGCTTCACCCCTCCAAAGCTCCTCAGTTCGCGTGGATAGTAGCCTGTTATTCCTCACTTCATTAGTCGCAGTCGACACGTTTTCTCCCTGAGGAGATTGCCGCGGAAAAGACAGATGCCCGCACCTTCCGTGCCAACCTGTAGCGTATATCGCCCAAAATTCGCTGCTACAAAATCAGTAACATTTTAAAAGGCAACCCAGATTTCATGATATTTTTTTGATAATACACTGGCACCACACTAGCACAAGCGACGCATCCAGGCCTGCTGAAGATGCTTTCTTCTTCCGCAACCTGCTTTGCTATTGGCTTACGGCCAGCATTGTAAAATTCTGGTTGATATCTGAGCACAGCAAGATTTGCTCGGGAATCTTGGAGAAAAGCCCTGCCTCACGCAGTAACAGAGGATTACCCCTGCCGTCTACCTGGCTGGTGCTGTAGCATTTGTACTTCAAGATTCCTTGGCGAGTCCGTACGTCTTCAGCGTCTCCTGAACCCTCTAATGCAGCGCCTGTGCTACCTGGCTTATCAGTAGGGGCATCTCGCCTGTTTATACATCGCAGAAAGCGACACCATCCCCAGCGTGTCAGATGTAGCTTAACATTAAACCCAAGACACCCACTGTCTACTCCGGTGATACCAGCACACACCTACCCGATGCATACAATGCAGCTCGCTTGAAGTGCCGCATGCATCGCAACGAAACAGATGTCGAAGCTCTTCCGAGACTTCAGCTGGAAGTTTAGGTCTAGCGTGTGCAAGACGCCTGTGTCATCCCCCATCCATAGGCAATCATCTGTTCCCGCAGTACACACTATGTTGGAAGACGGTAATGGGGACATACGAGAGGGCCCTGCAACATACGGCCACAACACGTTGCAATTCGCCGTATTACTCATTAAAGTAAAGGGCTGGCCATAAGATTCTTATCCGCTGTTGCCGCTTTTCCCCCCTGGGTGGCCGAAGGAACACGAAGCCTTAACCACCATTGGCATGTAATATGGTTGCCAATCCGCAGCGGCGTACCTGCCGGTGCTCCATGTTGCTGCACCAGAGCAGGAGGGAGCAAATCCGTGGTCGCAGCGCATCCTTGGCCACTGGAAATGGCCGATTCATTGCACGAGGAAGCAGGGAAACGGGCCTTCTCGACAATACTTCGATCGAAAAAGCTGAGGCGCCTCAGTTGCTGCATTGTTGCTCTTCGCCGACAGCGGGCGTGGTCCTCTGGGAACCTGAGAGCAGTCGCTGCAGCTTCTACATGACTCAACCACCGACTCTACCGCGGGTGTGAGCAATGTGTATACTGTAACTCTCACTAGAACACGTCAAATACGTCAGAGTCGGGATTTTTTTTAGATAAACAGAGCCGCACTTGCTACTGCATCATCGCGCTGTCCAGACAGTCTTCTGCCAGCCCCAGCATGTGCTAACGCCTAATTGCTTGATTCGTGTCCGAAACGACGTTTTTCCTTTTGAAACATACGCCCAGCTTAGCACAGCTGAATTACATTACACCAGTTTGGGGTTTTCCTTAGTGCTTGAGGCGTGTTGTAGCACGTTGAGATGCTAACATCCAACGGTTTGCAGCGTTCGTCTGCCTGGTGCTTCAGGCCTTCAGCAAGTTGCGTTTCTGCATAACACTTTGCTCAATATACAAGTTGAGAACAGCACGACTCGAGAGCTTTATCTTAGGAGTGACAAAGTGTATCTCGTCGTAGTTGTTTGCAGGAAATTCCGCCCGTGCCTTGGTGCAGAGCTGTAATTACTACTATGTTCAAAATGCTCTCATGTTCCCACTGCTTTGTTCTGAGGTTGAGGCAGTTAAAAGTTGGCTTCACGGTTTCCTGATGGCTCTTATTCTGGCTAGCCTGGCAGCACACTGGGCACTATGCACTGCGGGGTACTTGCGCAGCATGTCACCCAAAGTGCACACGACTTGTGGGTATGGTCTTAAAAGGACCGTTAGTAAGACCTAATTTTTGCACCTTATGATGATATAACCTTCATTTCCTGTTAGTTTCATTTCCTGATGGTTCTTCAGACGAGCCCCGGAAAGGCAGAACCGTCGGTTTTGTGGAGGCGCAGGAACTAGCGCCAATCAGTCTCAAGAGCACTCGTTCAGAGCCCTATGAATGCATATCTAGGTGTCAATCCTTGCATAAATGAGATAGCGGCAGGATATTGAGGCTCCGCTTGCCCTCAGACGCCAGTACTTAAACGGAGTTCTCAAAGGGCACGCAGCGACTTATATCTTCTACTGTGGGGCAAATGGCGCTCGGCTTGAGCGCAATTGGTCAACAGCATTGCGATCTCAGCAAATTCTGCACCACAGGCACCATCGATCAATTTAGGGGTCACTGACTGCCAAGCGTCGTCTGTCATTGTGGCGAAAGTAGGCTTGCCTTCCGGAGGGCGCTTGGGGCGCACGCTGGCAGCTGGGAGCAGCTCGTTTAATTATAGAAACGTTACTATTCTACAAGAGAAACAATCACTTGAAGGCCATGCAGGGACAGCAAACGCACGTGGTGGCATATCAAAAACACCTAGAACACTACTTCTTTTGGTTAATGGGTGCAAACAAAGGCAAGTGTGGAGGATGCGACTGCGTTACTATGGAAATGGGACGCTCAGAGCAGCAGTGTAGCGGCAACTAATCAGTGAAAAATGGATGAAAGATTGATGATTCTGTAGGATACAATTCTGGAGTCCAAGGCAGACTAACAACTTAACAAATGTGAAGTGATACAACGCATTACAGAGGCAATACAGTGACCTAGGAGCTAAGATGAGACGGGAAGTCAAGAGCTTGCAGCGTTTGACTCAGTCCGTGAAAAAGAACCTGCCAAGCAACCGAAATATTCAAGACTGCCCAGCAGTTTATTGGTGCCATGACTGTAGTGCACAGGCACTACAATACGGGCTTGCTGGTGACCAATAGAAGATAGCTAGCTGGTGACCTACAAGAGGTCGTAACACTGAACGAGGACAGGACCCTCTTACTAGGATAGAAGTAAGGCAATTTGTCGACGAATTAGCATGTATAGGTTAGACGTGCCTGTTAATACCTGGAGACTGGGGCTGTCGACGGCGCCGGCACCGGTGGAGGCCTCCTCCCCACAGGGCCTAGGAGGCGAGAACCCCGAGTAGGGGGGATTTTCAAGAGAACAGATTTTGTAAAAAACTATAAATAACTGTACTTCGTGATATTTGGACTACTGTTTCAAGGAAATGCGCCGAAGGTAGACGGTTATCAAGGGCCCCTACTCGAGGGGGCAGGTAGCAGCGTAGTCGCAGCAGTAGGTGCTATGGAATACATTTGGGGACTGTTCCGGGATTGAAATATTTGTTCTTTCCGGACTTGGGAGTAAAAATACTATGTTTCAATGTTTCTCACCTAGATATCTTCGCTCGGTAAGGGATGTATCTCCGCAACGGACGCGTTATCGGCCCCACACCGCAGGAGACTTCTACAATGTCAGTAAGCAAAATGCCGAGCGGGATACCGACCCATCATCGTCATGCTACTCCGAAGCCCGCCGTCGCAGAGCGGCCGCATGGGCATAAGGAGGCGCCCCCACAGGTGATACCTATGACCAATATTATTCCAGGGGAAAATCCCTTCATCAGGTGGGGCCAATCCCAGTCCACTATGAGTGTGATATAGGCGGGACCGGGGAATCGGGTGCAACGCTTCCCATACTACCAGAAGACGGCAGCACAATGCATGCCTTTCTGCTGCGCATCGAGCGTCGGTATACCCAGATGGGATTGGAACCGCGCGAGTAGGGAAGCGCATTTATTTACCACTTTGTGAGCCCTGCTCTAACGTATTGGATGTATCTACGGCGAACTATCGACCTAAGCGACTGGGCGACGGTACAGTGCAGGCTTTTGGAGCGGTTCGACAAAACAATGTCGCAGAGTCAATTGTTAACGGAGTTGACTAAAGTACGGTGGAATGGTAACCCGAAGGAATACACGGACCGGTTTGCGGCTGTAGCGGAGCGTGGTTTGGGTCTTGCCCCCGACGAACTCGCCGACTACTACTGCACCGGGCTACCGACGGACCTCCATCTTCTAATCACCAATAACGGGCAGGTGAAGTATCAGTCGTGGGAACAAGGGGCGACAGCCGGAGCACCCCTCTACGAGCCCAAGCAGAGCATGCTGGAGCTCCGAGAAAGGACCACTCGAGCCAATAGGGCTGCTATCCAAGCTAATGGACTCCGTGGGCGCCAGGAAATTGAAAATCGCTCTGGGGGAACGCAGACGAACTACTTTGCGTGTCAGAGACGCGGACATGCGGCACGTATTTGCCCCAGCAAAGGGGAACGTACCAAACGTCGGGGGGAAATATGCAAGAAGTGTGGCGGTGTGCGATACTATGGTCGGGACTGTCCTACGTATGAACGAGGCCGGCCCGAGCCGGTGGACAAGAGCAGTAGGGCGCCCACACGTCCTAGCACTGAGAAGACGGAACGATTAAACGTGCGGGCCTAGGCGTGGTTGGAGACGAGCGTTCTAAGCCGCGTAGACATGGAAAAGGGATGATGTGTGGAGTAGCGACAGACCCCAATGCCATTCTAGTCTCCCTTGAGTGGGGAAACCAACTCCTCAGCACTGCGGAAGGAACTGAAACGAGTGATGGGCACGCGGAAGGGACTCAGCCCTTTCGGAAATGCGGTGGGAGTCTGGATCGGCGTCGATCCTGAGTGAAGAGGCTCCGGGCGCGACGACGGCTAGCAGCAGGAAGTCTGCAGAGGCAACAGAAGACGGCTACAGGCCAGACGCAACAGAGATTGCTCCACACTGGTGGCGGGAAACTTGCACGAAAGAGTCTTACGACCAAGGGGGAGCATTGTGCTATGTGGGTGCGACGGCAGTGCTTCGTGTTGAGCTCGCAGGGAGTCCATGTGAGGCCCTCGTGGACACTAGGGCTTCGAGAAGTTTCGCTAGTCCCAAAACAGTCGAACGACTGTAGCTCAAGGTGCGGAGACTTCCACAAGAGCATAGGCTAACCGCAGCTACAGGTGAACAATTACGCATTGATCGGGTAGTGACGGGATTGACGCTGTGGTGAGGACATGCACGTTTTTCCGGCGACTTTTTAGTGGGAACCGTTCCCTATGACTTAGTCTTGGGTTTGGATTGGCTGACGGAACACAAGGTGGCCTGCTATTTTCAGTCTGACAAACTCCGAACCTATGTAAATTGCCAGTGGTGCGAGTTACCGGTCGTTCGGACTGGTGAAGCAACGCCGCAATGTGACAGTCCCACCGTAGTCCACCCAAGGACCCCGGCAGAGCAAGCATATGAGGTATTGGCCAAACAAGTGGCGGATATGTCAGCGGAGGAGGCAGCTGTATTCCTACGCCTGCCACCTAAAAGGTGTAAGTCCCATGCAAAGACTGAGGCGAAGGCACGGATCACGTCGCTCATTCGTCAGGCGGCGGCTGACATGAAGACTCTCAGGGCACCATTGCACGGTTTGCATAATGGGAAAGGCTCAGACTTCTTGTTTTTCGGTTGCTGACAAACCCTGTATGGGAAACTGCTGGACTCACCTAGTCGACAATTGCTGAAACTGAGGCTCTTCATTAACAGAGATATAATAATGTACAGCCACATAGCATTGATAACAACGCTAGTAGAAGGGCAGCTCAGCTACGCAAGGGGCGTTAAAGAAACTGAGGAGGGTTAAAAAAGGCCAAAAACTTGGACGATTGCCTCCAGGATGGTTGACCCCGGGATGCGGAGTCTTACCAAAAGAATGGACAAAGCGCAGTTTGCAGACTGTGAGCGAAAGGGTCGTGTATTGATGAACTCTGTTTACATTCAAGAGACGAGTGTGGAGGAGACCAGTGCAGGAACAAGACCGTGGATGGGGTGAAACCAGCAAGAGCAGATGTTTTCATGCGACTCTACCCCAAACGAAATTCAACAGTATCAAATCGCAGTACGTCAGTTGGTTAGGCTGGCGCACAAAAGATCAAGAAGAAAGAGACTCAGCAGTGCATTTCAAAATTCCAGAATTTTGAAATTCCATTTCAAAATTCTGGTTTGGCAACCGGAGATGCCGGCGCTAAGAGACCGTTGTTATCAGCAGGGACGCAAGCCTTTAGTTTTATAGGCATCTGATGACTTCAAAAATACATAAGTTCCCGAAGAATCATGCAAAGACCTAGTGGCTTTTGAAGTTAGCCCTTGGAAAACTTGTTCAAGGTTAGCTAGACAAAGCTTGACGCGTCCGGAGCTTTGCCAATGGCATGTGCAGCATCCACAAGCCATACACAAAAAACGTTTTTTTGCTTCAGAGAAACTGACGGCTGAACTGCCTCAAGCGACAATGTTGAATCAGACTGAAAATCAAGATTCATCAAAGATCCTAGATATCCCTGTCTCGCGTCAAGAGCTAAGCGTTTGATGTGCAAGGCGACTTAGTATTTGCTGCCTAAAAGCTGGGTTACTTTAACTAGTTCTCCGTTTGCGGCACCACCTAAGAAGGAAAAGGAGACTAAAATACGCAATGGTCACACACTAGTTATTAGCAGCATCACTTTATGATTGCGATGGTTTCCACCAACTGTTTGTTGGCTGCATCTGCAGAAACACTGAATGTTATATGACGGACAATTGTTCAGTGAGAAGGAGCGTTTTTCAAAAACGAATGCATGCGAATTCGTGCTCTTCTTCCGCTGATAGCCTACTCAAATGGCAGGCAGTACAATCTTTCAGGAAGGAGTTGCGAATTGGTAAATTCAGACGGCTCTCCAGGGGAAGTAAGGATTCAGACGACCGCGAGGTGAAAAGGTCTGGCGGACGACAACGGTGAACGCTCCAACATTTTTATGCCACACTTTAATCCTGCAGAAACCACATGAGAAAGCAAACGCAAGTATATAAGTCACAAAATTGCTTGTGCAGGCATGTACGAAGTCCGATTATACCCATTGTTCACTGCAAGGGCTAAATTTCACAACATCATTGCCGAGTTGACCTTGCGGGGTACAATGCAGTCTTTTATCAAACAGAAAAGCCCCGTATTACTTTCAATCATGGGAAACAGCGGCAAGGCAGCCTTGCAGCTGCTAATCTACACGCCTCTTCGTGATAACAAGATCATAGGGAGCCTTCACGCATGGCTACGCTTCTCGAGCGCGCGTTGTTTGATCAATGCGCTTAGACGGACGAATCAAAGAATATACTTATTGAAATCACTAAGCACTGTTAGAAAGGCGTCAAATACTTGGCTGGTACCTTGATCACTTTCGGCGCCGTTCTGTAGCCGTCCGCTGCAGCATTTGAGACTAAACCTCCCACTCACATTGTTTCTTCGCCTGCAGTGTACGCAGACCTTTGAAATAAAGCACTTTTTCCAAGAATAGACGTTTGAAAAACTACTCTCGTCATGCTTAAAATAACGCATACACAAGAGCACGAAGCTCTAACAGTGAACAAGGTTTGTGTAAAACTGTGCATCTGTACCGACCCCTGACGGCAGTCCGCATCATGCGCTCATACAGCCGAGGTGCCGACAGACTTAAAATTGCTAAACTGCCTGTTAAGGCTCAGAGACAGGACAAGCTCTAACGAATCTCTAAAGAGATTCGGCGTTGACTGCCCTAGGGTTTGTTCCAGTCAACCGAGTTTGAATGGGCCTTTGCATCTGTTCTTTCGTCTAAGGACTACATTTTCGTCCGACTCTGCATTGGCTACTGTCTCATCAACCACGCTTCGCTCATGCTGCCTGCCCAATCCAATACGTGCTCGACGGCCTCTAAGGCAAGCACTACGTTTTGGTTTTCGAATTCTCTAGTGCCTACTAACAAAACCCGTTGAATATATTTTTTGTAAATAAGCTCCACGGTGTCTGCTGCTGTGAATGACTTCTTTGCAGGAACGAAATGAGCCATCTTGCTGAGGGAGTCGACCATGACAAGAATCAAGTCGTGCCCTGTCGTTGTAAGGGGGAGATCTGTGATAAAGTCGAGACTCACGTGCGCCCTTCGACGAGAAGGGATGAGCAATTGTTGAAGAAGGCCTGCAGGCTTCTGGTTAAGATACTTTGACGCTCGAGAGTGAGTGCATGATGCGACATAAGCAGTAGTGTAGGCGCGCATTCCTGGCCAGTAGTAGTGCTTGCCGAGAGCCGCAAATGTCTTTTTCTGGCCTCGATGGCCGGCTGTGACATGGTCGTGATGTGAATGCAGAACGTGAGTAAGGAACTCAGGGAATTACTCAGGGAATTGTGGGACGCAGACGCCCCACAGTCCATGAACGCGGATGTGCAGGTAAGGCTCCACGTAGCGCTAGGTAAATTGGCGATTACAAAACTCGATTCGCAGAGCTTCTCCTGGTTAGTTTGCTGCGGATTTGTAGGGAACGCGAAAAACAGGACACTTCGAGTAAGCTTGCGGCCATTGGCGCACATCAGGAGGGTCAGCTGGTGTCTTCGTTGTGAGCGTAGGACGTTCCGCCTCTGGGTTGGGTTCCGGCGGCGAAGGTGAAGGTGAGGACGGCATGCTGCGTCGTCTAGGTCGTCGCGAGCGAATTCCGGCGAGCTCCCTGTGGTTGGCAGGCCGACCACGAGAGCGGGGAGCCGCGCTCGCTTGTCCTATTGCGAGCATCAGTGGTACCGATGTTGTGTCGTGCGAGCAGGTGTTAGGAAGGCCGGGACGGCGAGACAAAGCATCCGCAACTTGATTGCGCGCTCCTTGAACATACGTGATGTGCAAATACGGGAACTCCGCGAGAAAGTCTAGTCACCGGGCGGCGCGTCCGCGCAGAGGCTTCGATGCTTGGAGTCTCTAGAGAGGATAGCTAGCCAGCGACCTACGAGAGGTCACAAGACTGGAGGGAGACAGGGCCCTCTTACCAGACAAAAAGTAAGAGAAATCGATTATTATTTTATATGCACACGTGAATTCGTGGAATTGCGTGGAGACTGGGGCTGGAGACAGTACCGGCGCCAGGGCGAGGCTCCCTCCCTTAGGGACTAGGAGGCGAGCTCCCAGGAGGGAGCGAAACAGACAGACAGATTTGAGAAACTCATGAATTTGTAATCATAATTGCAATAGCTATAGTTTCTAGGAAATGGACTTGCGTAGGTTGCAGTCTATAGGCCCTGCCCAAGGGACAGAAAGCACGTAGTCGCAGCTGCGGGCGCAGTGCACTACAGGTTTATCCCCGCAGCAGGAATGGATTAACCCAAATATGTAATTGTTTGCCTTGCAAACTTGCATTTGCGGAATTTTGGGTAGAACTGGTGTCTAAGAAAAATGCTGAGGAATTGTCACAGGAGAGAAACGTGCCCAGAGATATCGGAACTATAGATAAGTACATCATCTATGTACGCAATAACGCCCTCTCCTAATAAACGTTGTAGATAGGCATTAATGTTGGCCTGGAACATAGCTGGAGGACCCTTAAGGTCAAAGGCCATTACTCGGTACTCGAAAAACCCGAGAACGGAACGGAAAGCCGTCTTCCAACGGTCTTCTTTAGCCATACGTATTTGATGGAATCCTGCCTCAAGGTCCAAAGTGGAAAAATACTTTGCGCCTCCCAGCATCTCAAGAATGGTTTGAATGGGCGGTAGTGGGAAATCAGGGGTTATTGTAAGGGCATCTGCGTCTGGCCTGTAGCTGTCTTCTGTTGCCTCTGCAGACTTCCTGCTGCTAGCCGTCGTCGTTCCCAGAGCCTCTTCACTCAGGAACGACGCCGACCCAGACTCCCACCGCGTTTCCAAAAGCGGCTGAGTCCCTTCCGCGTGTCCATTGCTCGTATTAGTTCCTTCCGCAGTGCTGAGGGGTTGGTTTCTCCAATCAAGGGAGGCTGGAATGGCATTGGGGCTTGTCGCTACCGCACACATTATCCCTGTGCCATGGATTCGCGGCCTAGAATGCTCGTCTCCAACCACGCCTAGGCCCCCTTGTTTAATCGTTTCGTCTTCTCAGTGCTAGGACGTGTGGGCTGCCTACTGCTCTTGTCCTCTGGCTTGGTCCGGCCTCGTTCGTACGTAGGACAGTCCCGAGCATAGTGTCCCGCACCGCCACACTTCTTGCATATTTCCCCCGGACATTTGGTGCATTCTCCCTTGCTGGGACAGACACGTGCCGCATGTCCGCGACCCTGCACTCATAGCAGTTCGCGTGGGTTCCTCCATGTCGATTTTCGATTTCCTGGCGCCGATGGGGTCCATTAGCTTGGTTAGCAGCCCAGATGGCTCGAGTGGTCCTTTCTCGGAGCTCCAGCATGCTCTGCTTGGGCCCATAGAGGCGTGCTGCAGCTGTCGCCCCTTGTTCCCACGACTGATACTTCACCTGCTCGTTACGGTGATTAAAGATGGAGGTCCGTCGGTAGCCCGGTGCAGTAGTAGTCGGCGAGTTCGTCGGGGGCAAGACCCAAACCACGCTCCGCTACAGCCGCAAACCGGTCCGTGTATTCCTTCGGGTTACCATTCCACCGTACTTTAGTCAACTCCGTTAACAATTGACTCTGCGACATTGTTTTGTCGAACCGCTCCAAAAGCCTGCGCTGTACCGTCGCCCAGTCGCTTAGGTCGATAGTTCTCCGTAGATACATCCAATACGTTAGAGCCGGGCCCACAAGGTGGTCTATAAGTGCATTTCCCCACTCGCGCGGTTCCAATCCCATCTGGGTGTACTGGCGCTCGATGTGCAGCAGAAAGGCCTACATAGTGCTGCCGTCTTCTGGCTGTATGGGAAGCGTTGCGCGGGATTCTACGGTCCCCATTATAACAGTTCTTATCGCACTCATAGCGGACTGGAATTGGTCCAACGTGACGAAGGGACTGTCCCCTGGCATAGTATTGGTCATAGGTATCACCTGTGGGGGCGCCTCCTTATGCCCATGCGGCCGCTCTGCCACGGTGGGCTTCGGAGTCGCGTGGCGATGTTGGGCTGGCGTCCCGCTCGGCATTTTGTTGACTGACATTGTAGAAGTCTCCTGCGGTGTGGGGCCGATAACGCGTCCGTTGCGGAGATGCATCCCTTACCGAGCAAAGATTTCTAGGCATGAGTTGTTAAAATATAGTATTTCTACTCCTAACTCCGGAAAGAACAAAGAATTCATTTCCCGGAACAGCCCTCAAATGTAGTGCACAGCGCCTACTGCTGCGACTACGCTGCTACCTGCCCCTCGAGCAGGGCCTACAAACGGCACCTAACGTAGGCCCATTTCCTTGAAACGGTAGCTTATATTCAACGAAATACAGTAATTCTCAAGTTTTTTCAAAATCTGTTGTTGTTCGATTCGCCCCACTCGGGGAGCTCGCCTCGTAGGCCCTGTGGGGAGGAGGCCTCCACTGGTGCTGGCGCTATCGCCAGCCCCAGTCTCCACGCATTTTCAGGCACCGCTAACATACGCATATTAATTCACAGACAAATTGCCTTACTTTGATCCCAGTAGGAGGGTCCTGTCCTCCTCCAGGGTTCGGACCCCTTGTAGGTCGCTAGCTAGCTATCGTCTATAGGTCACCAGCAAGCCCCATTGTAGTGCCTGTGCACTACACGTACCCGTGCCGGCGTTGTCGGCAGCCCCGAGCTTAGGGCATTCGCAGACATTTCTAGTTTGTACATGTTAATTTGCTAATAAATTGCTTTTCTACTTCACTAGTAAGAGGTTACAGGGCTTAATCCGCGTCTCAACCTCTTAACCGCTTATAGGTCATCAGTTAGCTATCCTTTATAGGCCATTAGCAAGCCCTATTGTAGTGCCTGTGCACTGCACGAGCTGAGCTTAGCTCGCTACAGCTCAGTCTGCAAGGCCCAAGTCGGCTGTAATGTTGAGTGGAGGCTTTACTATCCATCTTCAAATAACACAATAAAGTAGGAATAAGGCACTGCCTATGAAAGCGGCTTCTCAGGCACCCGGCAAGCAACCTGTTAAGCAGCAACTGAGACAGCGTGGGCCGCAAACTGTAGGGTAAGCCGTCAAATTTCGTGTAGTGAACGCCTGTAGCAGTCGCGGCTTCCTCATGAGCTGCATGATATTCTGCAAAGGTAGCTAGCCTTTGGCAGACCGGCTTCCCGTGAAGCGACGCCGACTGCAACAATTCGGAAGCCGCCTTCGATTCCATGAAATATGGTATAAAAGTAGAAACATAATACTGTCGCTGGTGTTATCAACCTCCATATTCTGCTTCTCGTGCGATTGCTTTAACAACGTCTTTCTGTAAAATTACAGTTACAAATTGCAGATGAGTAGTTCAAGGTAAGGCTAGCACAGTTTGATCATCTTTGAAGTTAGTGTTCTCTTGGTAGCCTAACGAGACATCTTGAGAATTTTTGCTGTTCAGCACTAGCCGGAATGTACCACGATTGTGAAGCTTAAATGAAAATGCTAAGATGAATGCTAAAGCCAAAGAATCTAGGATCAGTGCTGTTGCAATATGTTTCCGCAAAACCAGCTGACCATAAGTAGCGATAATGGCAGATCATTACTTCTTCCGAGTGCCCGTAAAAGAACTCTTGCGCGCTCTGATTCTAAAGTTTATGAAAATTTTCGCCCTCCTTTTAGTTGGCTTGATACTTCTTAAAGTTAAAATTTTCCGATTCCCTGTGTGCGAATGAGACTCGGGAAATTTGTGTGACAAAGAGTGGTGTCTTTTAGGGCACAAACCATTTGTACTAACGAGTCCACTGTATCTCGCTAGAAGAAACATGCACTGCAGCAGACAAGAAAGTAAATGCTCTACACGAAGGCAAGTGCTCATTGTGGCGTGGGGCTGCATCTACTGGGGCTGGTTAATCTGAACCTACAAAGCCCCTTATGAGCACTTCGCGAAATGACGGACCTTCCTTCCATGCGCAATTCCCAGAACTGTTTAGGCAGATCTGCTGAAGGCCAGTATTATCGAAACTTGACATCAGAATATTTGTGCAACCTTTCCACAGTGCGTACTAGAGATCCCCCCAGTTTCACCTTTCCAACGTTGCCACAAAAGCGTCGACTTCATTGTAGTGTAAAATGAGTAGAGCTCAAGGAGACCCTCCAACGAAGGTCATCCCATGTATTCGTAGCGACACTTTCAATTCGGACGGGCCTCATTTAGCGCAATCCGCCGCAGAAACATGTCAATTCTTTAATGTAGCGACAACTTCTGCTGAGGCTGAATCTCCTAGCTGTGCTTATGAGGAAGCAGTCAACGAAACATGGCTACCGCATTGTTCACATTTCTTTCAAGGTAACCCTTACTGGTTTCCGCCAGCATGTGACTGTGGAGACTGTGCGCAAGCTTCATCTGAGATGAAATGTGTTGCTCAGTCACTTGGCACTCAGGTGCAGGCACTAGTGTGTGGCAACGCAACTGCCGCTCCTACATCTGAGCTTGCATCCCATCGCCTCATCGCTACTGTGAGCGGGCATGCCATGATTACAAGTGCCATTGCTCGACAGTATGCATGTGCCACAAGGGCTACATTGAAGGAAGCTTACCAAGCTCTAGCCATCTGCAGTGCCCAGTGCAGTCGCCTTCTTCGAGCTCGCGAGGTGTATAGATCTTCTTTGCAACTCCTCAGTGTGACACATGCATGCTGTTCGCATGCATGCCCTGCACCCAAAGAAGTGCCACTTCTTCAGAATCACTTCGCCTGCTTCAAAAAAAACATAATTAGAGACCTTGTGGAGTTGGAGAAGTTAAGGAGCAGAGCCCAGTTCTTTCAAGACTTGCGTAACCTCCGTGAGTGGATGGAGCTTAATAAGCAGCACGCGGTCTATGCGCAAGAGTTCGGTGGAGAGATGGCTATCATTCAAGAGGAATTAAGAAACTTTCTAGCAGCAGAAAAGGCGGCTCTGCAGTTGTTTCATGTCAGCGCATCGGCTATGTCCCTCTCATTCTTCAGTATTGTCGCGTGGGAGTGTTTTGGGACTCGAAAAAATTGGCGAATTGCCTCTTCAATGTTTTGCTTGAGGCTTGTGGCAATATACGTTTTTCCCTTACTTGAATCACCGGACGTACATCCTTTGATGCATGCAGGCTGTACGGCTGCTGAACATCCAAGACATCCTGGAAGTTTCGCAGCACAGTTTGCCGGCAGCGGCGCATTCAGCTACAAGCATATTGAAACGAGTTGAACGAGCAATAGATACACTCGCGGAGTCGTTGAAGACAGAAAAATTTTGCCCTGAGGAAAGCAGCCAGTCGCAGCATCTAGAGCAATGCCTTGGAGCAGAGACAACGGCAAGAGCAGTTTCCAGTGGCTCTTCGTCCCCCTCAAAGGCACCTGAAAATCGCGTCTGCCTGGTGCGGCTAAAATACAATGCTTCAACGAAAATAGTAAGACATGAATATCGCGTGTACAAGCAAAACGCTTCCGGCAAATGTCCTTGCGAGCCGTTTCTCTCTGTGCGCAGGTATCTTTGTTACGTGTTCTTAAACTAGAAATGATGCTCTCTACCAAGCTACAAACGGAATTGCAGCGCCTTTTACACCTCATACGCCTTGGAATTAATTTTGCTTGTGCATACCATCAACTTGATAAGTTTGCTTTAACGGTGCTTGGCCCAGCATCACAGGATAGCTTCGTGAAAGGCTCACAAAATGAGAATCAGGTTTCATGGCAGAAGCACTTTGTTGAGAAGCCCGCTAGTAATTGCCCCAGATTGATTAGTACTGCCGTGACTTCAGGAGCATTCAGGCTGGACCATTTTCTAAAACTGTCTACAGTTCGTCATCGAATGGTTGAACGCCGTCTCATTAAAGAGGGCGTTGCAGTTTTTAGGGGAGCGCTCCTTCGAGCTCAGTATAGTCCAGCGCACAGGCTGTTGTACTGGAAGCACTCTGCTTTTCCGCCCTCACAAAGCTCAGTACATGCCTATACAACCTGTGAAGCGTGGTCTTGCGTTGGGAAAAGCTCCACAAGAAAAGTAAACCAGATGCAGACAGTAATTCACCAGAGCTCCTGTATTCCGGAGTCTCCAACACCGTATGGGAAGAAACAGACACAAAATTTAGAGCCGCTTGACCCACAAGTGAGTTATCGTTTTAACGCAATCTAGGAAAGTCAAACGGCCCTTCCCTGAGAGGTGCAGGCCACATGTCGCCGGTGTTGCTCAAGTTTGGCATTTAGCATTTTAGCCAGACAATTCGTTTGCATGGCCAGTTGGACTGTGGTGAATCGCACCCCTCCAAATGAGATCAAATTCGCTCTGAGTCTACATTTACAATTTTCCATCAGGACCTATCAGATGTGGCAGACTTGGGGGACAACACTGGTGCAACTCTCAAAATTAGCACAGGCCCAGAACCTTGCCCAGTTGTAGTGTTCAAGGATGAAAAAACAGCCGTTTTTCAAGACGAAGAAATGCATCGCCGGGAATTAGATTCGACAGAAAAGATAGGGGCGGCGAGTCGTCTGAAAGATGACGTAGCTCTGCCTCAGTGCCTTGACGGAAAAAATGCCGCTGGAGAAGCGGTAAATGATGCTCCTTTTCCGGTTTTCCATTTACAGCAACACGAAGCAAATGAAGTGGAGATGCTAAGAGGCAAAGTGAAAGGCGAAATTTGCATCCACGAAGTTGACAACCTTCCCAAGTGCACGATGCTGCCAGATCCTGTTGACGCCAGCAGGGAAGCAGTTAGTAACTTGCAGATACCCTGCAATGCTACTCGTTCCGCTAAAACAATGTCACGGCAGGTTGCGTGGCATAAAGTTTCGACTCTTTTGCGCCTTCTAAGGTCGACGAAGACAGCACTGCACGCTGCATCCGCTAAACTAACTGCCAAGTACAACGGTACATCAAAACACTCACCTGGCAGAGTGGAGCCATGCCACAATAATGCGAAGTGATTCAGCAGGAACCACTGGAGCAGGGCAGCCAGCCTCTGTCCCCGCTTCTTTGTTCTTCAGCCTGAAAGACACTCTACGGCTGCATAATGTAGTGCGTATAATTGTGTAATAGTGGGCGGATATGAAAGGACGAGATCTGTGAAGGTCTGTACGTTTCCGCTGAAGTAACATGTGGTTTAATGTATCTCAAAGCTCTTCTTTCCAACAGTTCGCCTTTCCTGAGGCGGAAGGGGCAGGAATAATGACACTACTGTATCGAAATTCACCCCATATACAACAAGTTTTGGGAATTCTTTGCAAGCGGTTTTGAAAGGACTGATCTCTGTGGTGGTGCCGAAAGTATCTGGGTGAAATTCCAGAAGCTTTAAGCACGAAATCCTGCTCACTTTATTCGAGTGGAGCGCGCAGCTCTCAACATAAATTGTTTTTCCTTTGTATTCGGAACTTCACAATTCTTCATTTAAAAGAATAGCGGCGTAGAAGCTATGAGGTGGCTTGTTGAGTTGATCCAGACGTTGAGCGCTGAGAATAAAGCATACAATAAGAAGCGTTAGCACATCTTGACCTTGGCTGTCGTGCACAGTTGCCTTTTCCTTACATCCTTACCTTCAGTCGCTGTGGCCAGCAAGTGGCTATCTTTTGCGCAGATAAAATGAAAATTTGAAGAACTTTACTTTGCGGTGTACACTGACTGCTCAGTGGTTTAGTACAAAAAGGAGTACCCTGTTTCACAGTTAACAATGACTGCATTATCTCACTTGATTTCCAAGCTGCAGGGCACAAACACTTTTCTGTGGTTGTGAGTTGCTGCCTTCTGGCTGCTCGTGGTTTGCTTGTGTTTTCAGCTATACCGCTTATGTTTGTGCGTGCTTGTTTTCGTTGAACCGTTAACTTGTCGCATGCTGGTGCAATGGCCATTGGGCACTTTTCCTTTTTGATGCTTCTTTACTCTAGTACTATTTTGAGTAGCACAAGCCGATTCCTCACTCCCACTTCGCAGCCCATAATGTCTTCCACTGCGCAACATTGGGGGAAACGTATTCTGGGGTATTAGCTCTACGTGGATTACGGTTGAGGGTTCCAAGGGGAAAACCGGCCAGGAGCCTGGAATACTGGTTCTGTTGAATTAATGCCAAGGGCAAGTGTATAATGGAAACTTTTCGAAAGAGCAGAGTCAAAAATGAAGGCCTAGCTGAAACCAAGATTCGAGGCACGAGGTTTTGCGCCTGGCATATGCTAGACGGTTTCAAGCCAGATCACCGCGGAGAATGCCTTTGCTGCAATGCAAAGCCAAAGGGGAACGAAAACGAAATGGTCTGTGATGAACTACGAATCGAGCCTTCTACAGTCCTGAAAATATCCTGCCTGTTGAACTTTTACGCTTGTGGCCCTTGTGCTATTACTATCTACCCCACTTAAGGTGGGAAGTCCAACATGGATCTTGATCTTACGACATCAAGAAATTGTTGAAAGTTTTTAGTCGTTCTAGACTTGATTAAGCTATTGTTATATAGGAGCAGGATTATGCCGATCCAGGGGCAGTTCATCGGGCTCAGGCAGCGAAACAACGGCAATATGCCCGGAGGGCTTCAGCCGGGGTTGCTTTATTGTTCTATAGCGAAATGCCCTCCTATTTCCCCTTAGAGTAATACTGTATTTTTGGTGTCACGCCAGAGCGAACTCGCGCTGTGATGACATAGCATGACACATACGGCCATCGGCCTGTTGCGCCTCGGGGATGGCATTCAACTCTAGGCTACTGAAGCATGGCCTCATAATATTAGAAAAGCACTACAACGAATACATGAAGCTCAGCTTGATGTCTGAAGAGAAGAAAGCATGATCTAATGCAATGCTGTGCGGCATGCAAGGCACGAACAAAGGAAGTCAATAATGATTGTGAAGAAGGTGCGGATACATTTATCTGTTTTTGGCTTCCTTTGTATATCGTGGCAAAGCTGTTTCTCAAGAGGTTTGTAATATGCTTGCAGAAACGTAACAAATTTTTGGCAAGAAACACATGGATATTCGCTGGTGGGCAAGTTTCGCGATAGTGTTGCAACTTTTTGAAACGAAGATATGATCAAGCTACATCCCACGCGTCTCTTTGATACTCTGCCCCATTTTTGACCATCACATTTCCCTGTACTCTCCTATTACGGGAAACATCTAACGAGTCGTAGCGAGACTTTATTGAGCCGAAAACCTGTTATTATCTTTTCCCTTGGATGTTCCGGTGCTGCATTTATCGGCGTGTGAGAAATGCACTACTGTCATGTAGACGTAGCGCCATAGCTTCCATGTGGAACTGAGCGTGAAAAGTGCTCAAACACTGCATCTAAATTTGAATATAATATTTGACTCCGGGGACAACTGATGTCAACGGTGTCAAAGTGTGACAGCGCTGTCGAATTTCTTACAAGCCGGCATCATTGGAAGCCGCGACCTCTCCTTTGATTTCTCCTAGCAGGGAAAGTCTTTTCGACATCCAAGACTGGAACTTTTGTACTTGAAATATATTATGTGTCCTGAAGTGCTATCTTTGGTGTAGTCCGTGATGCATACACACCAGGCAGCAAGCCAGACACTTCAATCCCATAAGAATTGCCTCTTTCCTTCTAAAGAGATAAAACATAACAAATTCAGGCTAACCGGTATGATGCCAGACTCTAAACAATGTTCTGTGAGTCGCCTTGCACAATATGAAGCACTATGGTTGGAACTATACTGCTTCGGACTGGTGACACTTTGCTGGAATCATAGCCACTGGCCAAAACCTAAGTGCTACGACCAAAGAAAAGGAATTGACTGCAAGGCAACACATTATAACTATCCAACTATCCACGAATACTGCTTTCATACCCAAAACAGCAGCTGAACGCATCCATATATGCTAACAGGTAAGGAAGATTTTAGCTCTGTATATGTCTGACCTGCAGCGCTCGGCTGCAAGGCCAGATTCTACGAGTTATGAACAACTCTGCTGGCTTGGCAACGTTAGAGAATGCAAATATCGTTCTCTACCAATAGGTGGGAACCTCCAGGGGGAATCATCCTAACTAACTGGGGGCTGTTGGAGTTCGCGCGCATTGGCTTTTCCTTGATAGCGGGTAAACGAATATTTGCAAAGATGAAGCAAGGCTTTTATCGACGCAGTCACAGTGCTAGAGGTTCTGGGGCCTCTGAGCTTACAATACAGGCCCCAGCCAAAACGGGCGCTTATGGCTTCTAGCATCTCTGCCCGTTCCGATGCGGCAGCGCTTCGCTGACAAGGCAGAAAAAGACCCTATTTGTTCATTATTGTTTTTTACGACAGCACATTTGCTATCTTTCTTGGTCTGTAAAGCCTCGCTCTACTTGTTCGTGTACACTGCAGTTGGAGACCAAGCTGCAACAGCGTTCATACATCGATACGCAACACGCTGAGGCGAATACAGTAGTAGAAGCGCTGGCGTTTCACTGCTTACCAAGATAGAGCATTACACTGGTCATTTATGGGGGAGAAACATAGAAATCATCGCGCGTGCGAAAAGTGAAGCCCCGCAGCCCCACAACAGTGGATGTGGGGTGCTCCAACATGTGCGCCTTAAACCAGTGAAACACCATCTCAGGAATATTTCGGCAGTTCCCGTTTGCTGAAGGGGAATACTGATATTCGCGGTGAGACAGGGAAACATTTTGCGAGTTGAAGTAAACTCATCCCCCTAAAACAAGGGGTGCCTCTTCTTCCCTGGCTCCGCTGTTCCTTGTGCTGTCGTGGGTTGAACATTTTCCTGCTGATTCCCAGTAGTTTTCATGCATTCGTTAATCCGAATTTTCTAGGTTCTTCTTGGAGGTCAGGAGGGCTTCAGGGGACCTCTTTGTTCTGTCATGTGGTGTGATGCAAAAGGCGTCCCTCTTCTTTGCTTTGTTAAGCGATGCTGCGTGGAGGTCTTTCTACAAAGATGGAGCTTTGTTTCCTTTTCATGTGTTTTTGCATGAACTTCAGCCATTTGCTGTTTGGCTTCGCCTGCTCCTAATCCGGCTTCCGCAGCATGCGGTAGTTCTCGTCGAGTCATAGCACGTTGTGAATGTGCTCACGTATAGCTTTCCTCGGATCTCTAGTGTATTTGCGAGCACTATGCCTAGTTCTTTTTGGTGGTGCAGGATTCGAGGATGGCGGGTGTCCAGACCACCATCAAAACGGAGCTCTGCTCCTTCAGCGAATACCGTATTTACCCGGGTCGCGGCCTGAAGTTTGTTTCTCGCGATGGAAAAGTGCACACCTACATCCACTCCAAGGAGGCGCGCCTTGGCCGACAGAAGAAGAAGGCAGCCAAACTCCGTTGGACATTGGTACGATCGTGCATTCTAGGTTGTTGGCATGGCTTCACGCTTTTGGAACAGGTGTTGTGCTGGCTAGGTAGCGTGCTGGCTTGTGATACCCCGAAATTCGTGTGTAGCCCTTTGTGATTGCGGCCAGAGTCACCGCGTCTGATATCCCGGTGAGGGCTCGGTGCTAAGGTTCGCGTACACTGAAGCATCTGTAGTCCCGTCCTGGCGTATCTCTTCAGTGGGGAGCGCATTTAGGGGCTGAGCTGTACAGTGTTTCTTACACAAAAAATATTAGTGCAGTTCCGTGTTCCGTTTGTTTTTGCCCTGTTTCGACTGAGAACGGAGACATTATCTGGTTTGATCGGGCTCAAACCTCGTGCGGCTACTCCTCAGGTATGGCGGCGTGCCAACAAGAAGATTCGAGGAGAGGCCGTCGCAAAGCGGCGTACGCGCAAAGGAGGAAAGGTTCAGAAGGCTATTGTGGGTATTTCCCTTGAAGAGATTAAACAGAGGAGGGCAGCAAAGCCAGACCCAACTAAGGTACGGTGCCGTCCTACTTTTCAGATAGGGCGAGGCACGATATTTAGCACCACCAGAATATACTGAGTGCAACCCATGTGCGATGGCCCATATGGGATGTTGCGGCACGTCGCGCACGTTTGACTTGTCAGCATTTGCATTTTCCGTGCGTGAACTGAACGGTCGGTGTCTCTTTATGGCATTTGCGTTGATACAGATGAGGAAGATGCCTGCAAAGGAAAAGAAGGAGAAGAAAGAGAAGCCGAAACAGACTGTAGTCCCGGGAACACGAGCCCCCCCAGTAAAGAAGATGGTTCCGAGGGCGCAGAAGGTGGCAGCCGCTCGCCTCATGTGACCGAAATATGGGTTGTTTTGGTGGCACAGTGTGCAGACACTGCTAAGTGCATGCAGAGAACATGAGGAGCTAAGCGACTGCAACGTCAGTCGCCCACTGGTCGAGTCTTTGCCAGATCGAGCCAGTTGGGTTGATATTTACACGTTGGAGAAAGGGTTGCGGGGATGCTGCAGCCACGTAGCTGCGCAGGCAGACCATGCAAACAGCCAGGTGGAGGGGCATATTGGTCAATCGATGGCTGTTACTAATAAAGTGGAGATATTTTCTGACAGAAATATCGCCAGATGGCGAAACGCTCTAGAAATATGGAGGAACGCACAGTGCTCTCTGTACAAGGCGTTTTCTTCAGAGTGCACTAGCTAGGCCTGACTTAGGCGCCATCCGCAGCATCCCGCTGTTGTGGGTGGCGAGGGAAGGTGATAGGGGCATAGACTAGCTGTAGTACAGCGAAGCCATTTGTCGGGGCATTTAGTACTCATGAACAGAGGACAGTACTTAGAAGGCTGTAGCGCGATTGAGCGGTGTCCGGAGAGTGGCACTGCTTGGCGAGGGCACGTGGCGGGCTGTTGCTGAGAAATTAGAGTTCTGCCTGCTTGTTGGTTTGACAACAAATGAGTTTTCAGCTATACCTTGGGAGCAGAATGCTTAGCACTGCGTAGCTTCCTGGAAACATCGGGGTACTTCCAGCGCATGCACCGTCGGCTGCTGTCTGCGGAGTATGCATGCTTCAAATCTGTCACATTGCGGTTATCGCCAGTAGTTTTGAGGCTTAGTTGCAAGGAATAGATTTTTCCTCTCGACTTACCGATGCGCTCGTTCTTGCCTCCCCGTGCTCCCCATGCGGCGACGGCATGATGGGTTATCGTTACAGCCAGCCACTCATTTGCAACTCGCCGTTTTCTCCTCGTAACCTTACGAAGTCAATAGGATTCACTGGTTATTTCGTGAGGCCAGTCAATGAAGTCGGCTTTGTGCAGCCTCTAGGCGCCGGCCTGGGTATTTTCCGGTCACTTGATTGCACAGAGACACAACAAGCCCGATTTGCCCACAAATTCGCTGCCCCAGAGTGTCCCAACTTGCTGAAACTGAGGAAGGCCATCGAGCAGAACTTTAAACCGGTTTGCTTCTACGTTAAGAATGACTACGCTATGGGACACCACGTTTACGATCAGCACTTCTACGTACGAGCACACGCAGCTCTACCGTAATGTGAAGAAACAAGCAGATAATAAGTTAATGTCAACGCAGTAAGGTAGGGGTTATGATGTAGATGCGGCAGATTTCGTGAGCTTCTGTAGCTGGACACATCGTTAAGGACCTATGCACTTGATTGTGGACAGTGCACAAGCTCGTGCGAATTCGTCAATGTATAATACACCTGCATGTACTTCATTCTCTGCTCTGCTTGGCTTTTAGGGAATCCTTTGCTCGCCGCTTTTCGAAGGGAAGAGCTACAGGCAAATAAATGCGATGGTAGATCGCGTACTGGAGCCACTCGGTACTTCGCCTTCCTTCCGAATTCATGCTTCCCCAACTAAACGTAATAAGAGTGCTTGTAGACGTTCGTGATGCCATGCTGAATTAGGTCTGGCAGCAGGCCTTGCGAGTCTGCCCTCTTCTGCTGCTTCAGGATTGGGAGGACGGGTTAAACTCCATTGCCAGCCGCCCTCTCGCTTTGAAGTGAGCTACGGTGATAGCCCTGCTCAAGTTTGCATTCTACTTGTTAGCACCTCATTCACACGACTTGGCATTCAATAGGTTCTGAGGTTTGATTCCAGTAGGTTCCAAAGTTAACTTGCAGTCAAGACGGAAGTGCCACAGATTTTTTATTGTCCCCCTTATGCAGAAAATGCGGAGCCATCTCCGCTGGCGCTGGCAGCTTGAGAAGTGAGAAAGACAGTGGAAAATAAAGGCAGGACATACAACTGGAAAGGGATGGAAAGAAGGTTAAGAAATTATAACTGGAGCAAAATGCTTATGTTGCAAGCCTCGTTATCAGGCTTTCGTCTGAGCATACAAGTACAGTGGAGCAGCTAGCCTGCCTTTTCCAATCTTGACGTTTTACAGTTTCACGGGGCCAGTCTGTGTGTTGGAGGCCATTACTCTACCGCCAGCAAGCCCCTGCTGTTTCAGTACTGTTGAGCATTTGAACACTTTGAAGTTTGAGTTGCTCTACGCCCTGCCATGCCACGCGGCAGCGTTCTTCCGTAGCACCCACCTATCTGGCATAGTATTCACGCTGAAACTGAGCGCAGCGCCTTTCGCTTCGGTCACAGAGCCCTCAAACTACTACACAGCCCGTCAACAACGAAAGAAGCAGCAGGTGCTGTCATTCCTACTTACAGGTGAAAGTCTATTTGCGAGGAACTTGCCGCTTCCGCTGACAGCTGAATAGCCCGTTAAGCTGTAGTGTCAGGGACGTTTTGGACGTCCAGACGTCCCCTTCGACAGTGGCGGTGGCATGCATGCAGCTGTAGCTGTTATTCCGGCTTTGTTAAATTATCGTTGTCGAGTTTCTTCACAGTTTTGGGATCGATGAAGAAACGCTCTGCTTGCTTCCGTAAATTGTCGCGTTCTTTCACCGTTTCCCTTCTCGTCTTGTGCCATTCCTCCACATCAACCCCTCGGGGAAAGGCCCTGACGCCTTGCTGAGGTATCGCAGCTCCTGCAGAGTAAAATATACAAGAAGCTCTTCCTGTCTACAGAATATACGCAGGAAGTTCTTCCTGTCTAATGAATATCTTGAGAACGCACCGAACGCAAATATCGGGTGCAAAGATTAATAGGAAAGCGCAGGCAAAGGGAGCGGAAGAGCTTACCGTCGGGCTGCACTGTAATTTCTGCGGGTGTATCATTGACATAATACTCCACATTTGCATGCTCTAAAATGAACTTGTATACAAGCGCCGCCTGCGCCTTTTTATAGAGCTGCTTTAGGACCGTCTCCGGGGCTTCCCCTGCTGTCTGAGCAGAAAAAACGAGCATACTCCTCAGTTCTTCCTCATTCTACCGAGCTAATTTCAACTCATCGTGCAGCGCAGAGTTTCGGGCACGGCAAGCAACACCGAATATGCTTTATTGTTTCTATTCATAGTTTCCTCCGCAAAGAGGCTGAGACGGACAGTTTACCGTCCGCCGAGACAAAGTACAGAAGGGATATTCGGGCGAACCTGCAGGAGCGCCTTAGCGAGGTCCGCCTGTAATTTTTTTTCATCCACTTGCAGCCCTTCCCTCTTGTAAACCGCCTGCGAAAGGCATGAGAAGTTGGTGACTTCAAATCTTACATTAATATCAGGTTTGAGGACATCCGTTACTAAACTGGAGCAAGGTGAGACAGATCATTACTCTTTTCAATAAGAGCTGCGCAGGCACTTGATTTCAACTGCGTCAAACATGAAGGGTCTCACCTGAATGGCAAAGGCTGTTGTAAGTATGCTCTCTATCCCCCGCCGGTTCTCCTCTTTCCACTTCATAAAGTCTTCTTTGGTTTGGCTTTTCTTGTCATTCTCCCCTTGAATTTCTCGTGCTCTCAGCTGCTGTCTCCATGTGGCATTTGCTTGTGCATCAAAGAGAGACTCTGAGGCGTTCGTTACATTGACAGTCTCTCACTGACCGCCTGTTATACGCTGGAACTGTACACCATATCATTTTAGGCATGGACTCAAAGATAATGCGTGCCGAATGGGGAAGGGACATGGTGAATGATACTCTTTCATAAAAAAAAACTGGCGGCAAATCTGCTGGCGGCTCATGTCCGCATGCGAGAGTGCCCAAACACCGGCTGCTACAGGGCGGGAAGTACACACAAGTGGAACTGGGACGCAGGAACTGGCGTGCGAATTGAATAGATACACACTTAAGTGGTGGTATTGAGCTCCCGCTGTCTATATTGTTAGGCAAATCCACGAGCGTTTGCACTCGTGCTCAACACTCGTATATAATTTGGTTCACGGATAATACCTGGCACATCCACTTGCGATATTTCATCGAGAGCCTGAGCTGCAGCACCTAGAGCATGCTTTGACGCTGCATTCTTGGCCATGTCCTCTGCGGCGGCTTCTATTTTCTCCCACAACTCTGCCCGGCTCATTTGGCATGCTTTCTGAAAGAAGGCATCTGAGCCGCAGGAAAGAACGCACGCGGGAGAATCGGCAGCACAAGGATAACGAGTGTCCTGAGAGAATAAACAGGGGCTAGGAAAATGGGCTTTTCTAACCCCCGCAGTAGAAGCTGTTTCCCGCTCCCGCCTGCCCACCAAACTTCTTATATACTGCAACAGTGCCTGGTATCTGGAAAAGATATTAAGTCAAATGCTGTTAATCAGAGCCAGGAGGGATAGGTGTGCAGCCTTCACCGACCATCAGCAGCCGGCCAAATGCGGCGTTTCACTCCAACGCACTTGACCTGAAGAAGGCAATCGATGTGATGTATTTCATCTTCAACTTCTCCACCACTGTCTTCATAAGTGTCTCCAGATATTCCCATTTGTTCCTTTCCTGCTTTGTTACTTCTCTCTTCGGTGGTGGCACGATCAGTGTTGGCCGCCAAGGCCACTTCTGATGCTGCCGCGCCGCCAACATCACCTGGCGATTCCCCTTCCTGTGAAAACAACTTCTTCAAAAATTTGTCTTTCTCTGTACCTGCGAGGCTCTGCAGGTATAGCGGAACGAGACTGCGGCCTTCCTCGGAGCATCCCTCCGTCATCCTTCTCTCTCCTTCAACATCTGTTTGCTGTTCTTCTCTGGCGTCATCTGCCTGTCTTGCATTTATTTCCAGCAACTGAGAGGTACTAAAGGGGATCGCCAGCTTCACGGTTCGCCTCTCGCCTAAAGAAATACCTTTAACGGCCCCCAACAGCTCAACCGGAATCCTGCACAGATGCGCGACGCTCGTTTCCTGTCCTGGCTTATTCACTAAGTATTTGCGACACTAGCGCAGTGAATATGGAACACTCGAGTCAAACTCATTTTGTTTTTCTAGGGCAACCTGAGTTCAGCTCATAAATTACCAGGGCCGAACAAGGTCAAGCGTCGTTTCCCCACATATAAACTCTGAGGGAATTTTGGGGCCAAAGGAACCATCGCGCTCTTCAAACCAGCCGAACTCCACCTAGGAAGCAGAATGCAAATATCAGGAGTAGCAGAATCCTTACATAGGTACCCGGTGACATTCTGGAAGGATTAATCAAAAGTGCGAGAGTAGCTAACATCGGCACCTTTCAGAGAATTGAAACGGTGCTTTCTGCAAGAAGCGCGGACAGCAGGGAGTGGCAATGGTATTAGGCAAACCTGGAGAAGGACTGAATCCCCTTCGTCAGCTGGGTGTGCAGACTCCGGATAGTCCGTCACAGTTGAATGCTTGTACAGCAGATAGTCTGTTGTTAATTTAAACAAATGGCCCTTCACATACGGCTGTCTCGGCACGCGAAGCTGCATTGAAAACACAGTGAACCCCGGACAAGACCCTGAGGAGCCTTCATCAATCGAGTAGTTAAGCCCTCTGCATCGCAACATGCTACAATAAGCACAGAGAGACTCGGTAATAATGCACAGCAATTTTACGGGAAGACGAATATTGTGACTCACATTGAGACCCTTGTAAGAACGCTTGAAACGAACTCTGGGATGCAGCTCCGCACGCAAGTGAAGGGTGAAAGGAGTTCCAGGGGAAAAGCGATCTCCTAATTCACTTATATCCTGAGTAGCAAAACACTGAAGTACGGCTCACTCGAATGAGACAAGCAGTTAAAAATGGGGAGCAGCGTTGACGCCAATAGGCGTAAGCACTTGCAAAAACACCGGATCTGGTGGTGGAGAGTTGTAAGCATAATCGCGCGTAAAACGAATTGAACGGTACCCTAAAATCCGATGCCTCCTCCCAACAGCTTAGGACTTGGAAAAAGTGACACAAGTGGACTGTCTATCGCTCACGGAAGAAGCGCCCACCATTCAGCAGAGCTTACGGAAAATTTTCTTGGATGGGTTGCTTGCATCTGAATCACTCACCTCTGTAAATTTCGCCTCGCCCATAACGCGCAAGTTGTGTTCAACTTGAACCTTCCTCTGAATAGCTTCGCTTAAGAAGCGAATTACATCTCGGCGCACAGCGGAGACGCCGCCTGCCTTCTGCAACAAATAGGCCGCTGAGACATCCAATGGTGAAGAAAAAAGGGAAGAGCGGAACTTCGCGCGCAAAGACGCTAGGGTTAATTCCCACAACTGCGAAGTACGCAAAAACCTGCGGATGCCCCAAGCTCTCATAAATCAGGCTCGCGCCTACTTGGGGGCAGCTGTGCGTCAAGCTTTGCAGGAGTAGACGAATGCAAATATTGGCCTGCCCACTGAAGAGCATTAATAGACTGTAATAAGCCACTGTAAGTGCATGTACAGATTCAAAATAACGCCGATTCTCAGTGCATTCACGCACTAACAGTAAGCATCCTTGAAGTGATACAGTGAATTATTTATGTACGTTTTCCCAAAAAAATGTGATGCCCGCTCACCTCTCTCGTAAATTCCCCGGAAGCAGTTGCATCGATTTCTATGCCACATTTTTCCATTTCTCTCAATTTAATTTGAACATCAGTGCCACTCAGCATCTGATCAACTTTCAGTTCGGCTTCATTCAGTTGGCGATTCATTTTACTTTGCTCGTCTTTACGTATATAGGTGTTCCCCTGAGCAGCACGGGGAGAAAATGATCCAAGTCGCTGGCCTCTTTGCAGGTACTCCGCATGTCTCTGAAGTCACAAGGAGGCTTCAGGCAATCCCATAGAGCTCTTTCACTACTGAATTCTCCCAACCATGAACGGACAGCATCAAGAGGCGCTCTTGCCACCTCGTGAACATTTTTTGAATTCATTTTGACATTCAGGCAAGCCAAAACTATGCATTATGCGACACTCTGCAATCGACACCCCTCATGCATACCCCTTAATTAACTGGGCGCGAGTGGGCAGCGCTTATGGAGCCCCACCCTACTGCAATACATTTGTGCTTAGCATGGGACGTGCGGGACATGTTGCCTAAACGCTTACTTGCTTCTGCCGTCGGCGTTTGGTGTGGTAATCCTCCTCGGTGTCCTTCGCATGTAAGGATATGCTTGCATTTCGAGGATGTGTGGAGCCTGCCTTTCCTTCCGTTCCCATATGTGCTTCAAATTTTGCCAAGTCTGCTTCTATCGAGCTTGAGGCTGGTTTATTTCCTTCACTGTGGCCTTCCTCTAATGTGCTGGAGTTTTCTCCAGCCACTGCGCGGTGCGGTGAACAGCCAACTGTGATCCGCGTCGGCATCCGCTGCCTGTACAGGCGACTGCATTGTAAGCTGTCTGAAGTGGACCTTTTCGCAATGCTGTAAGGGGCTGAAGAACCCAAGCAAAGCGCTGGACAAAAGACACTCCGAATTCTAGTAGCTGCGACAAGTTGGGGAGGCCTGAGTCTATTATCATCGAAAGGAAGCTTGTAGCCCTCAGTCTTCGTGGAGTGCGAGCACACCCAAAGGATGGCGCACAAAACTGCGAAAGAAACAGTCTTTGTGAAACATCTCGATAACGAAGTACTCCAGGTAGTGTTCTTTTGGAAGGACATCGCTGTGGAGCTACACAACCTTTTTCCCCCTAACGTGTCGAACGTTTTCGCTCATCATTTGATATAAATTTTCCATCGCTTGATGTCTCATGATCAAAATTCAAGAGTTACTCATCTCGAGTGCCTTCAACGTCTAGAGCCCGACTTCACCCAGGAACGACGCGGCAGGAACACGCTGAACAAGCTCATGTATTCCCCAAGAAATAAGATGTTTCAAGCACTTCAAAAAACAGAAAAAGCATAAAGTAAGACCATAACCGCTGCCGAGTGTGCAAACTAGTGCTGTTCAGGCACCACAACAACAGAGGGCCCTCAGAGTACCGGAGTGTAAATGACAGTAGCCTTGCAAATCAGACAAACAGGAACAACATCAAGCCGTCATTGTCAAATTCTTATCCCCTTCATGTTATGCTTAACTGCCCTTGAGGTAGTTAATGCGTAAAACTCGAGTTTTCTTACCAGCAGAGCCAATAGACCTACGAGAAGAGGCCCTGCTTAGTTTCGGGACCCCACAGCTGTTTGAAAGAGTGTACTGAAGCCCACGAAGTATACATCGTAAAACACTCCAGAAAATAAAGCTGAGACGCATTTTGTAATACCAAAGTTCACACTTGTCATTTAAGCGGAGGTCGGCTCGGCGTCTGCGCGCCTGTGGTCCTTGCGTTTTGTGTCATTGCCACCGCGGTACAGATCTATTGTGCCCGAACAGCTCGCCTTTTTGTTTCTTCTCCTGCCTCCCCTGCAGCAGTAAATCAACAGTGGGCTTTGTGGGGGCATACTTGGCTGCCAGCATGATTGTCTTGTGCTGGTTCCTACATCACAATGAATACAATGGCATGCGCATTGAGGAACTGGAGGCGCTCGCGCTTATGGAAGGAGTCGAGCAAAACTCGCTGTGGCAGGGCTGCAAACGCCCAGATTCAGCAGCCGAAGAGCAGTTTGCGTTCGTCTGTGTTCCCTCAGTAGCCTTCTGTGAGGCTATCATGAAACGCTCTCTGTTGATTAAAGCCTTCGTTGAGGTCAGCTGCAATAATTGGGCGTTCGCAGAACTCTCACCCTCCTGCCTGCAGCGTAGCTTCGATATCTGCGTTCCATGTTTCGCAGTGCCTGAGTTTCCAGTCCGTTAGCGCAAAAACAAATCTAAGAATTACGCCGAGAGGCAACCAACTAAGAAGCAACTCGATGAAAATGTGCAGCTGACGCCTTTCTCGGGCCCGTAGGTATGGGCCAGCGGCGCGACGTACGAAGCTATTCTAAAGGAGATTAAGGAAAATAAGATGGACACGTTTCGGAAGTGGATTTGCAAGGACCGGACTTGGGCTTTTCGTGTAGATGCCTTCGGTAAATGCCTCAGCAGCGATGAGCAGCGCCAAAGAATGAATTTTTTCGCTTCTCTTTTCGAAGGCAATGAGAAGGTCAACCTTTCCGATCCCGACACGACCCTCGTCGTGGCGGAGGTGAGGGCGCGGACGAGCTTACGAGCTTTTTTTGGAACTATTTTTAGAACGATCATGATCATTCTCGTTGGCAAATGATAATGATCCGACAGCGTGTCTGCGTATAAGCATTATCTGTCCCATTCGCAGCTTTCTTTCCATCCTCAGCTTTCATGCGCCTTTTCCTCCTTGCCTAGTTTAGGCCCTACGTCTCCTCACTTTTGCACGTATACTTATTCTTCCACTGCCTCTGCGCCGCGTTGGCGCCGTTGGTCCCCAATCGTTTGCAACAAGCGCATTTTGGGTCATTCTACTGCGCTAGTACTTTGGACTCTGTCCTAAGTACTAGCTGTGTGCTGTGCACTGCAGCAATGGGCGCATCAAAGTCACCTCAAGGCTCCAGTTCAGATTTATTTCGGCCGCCAAATTTGCAGGAAAACAAGAGACCATCCTTTCTGGTGGAAGTACAGGCTGCCCGTAAGGCCAGTGCTGGGTCCCACATCGCTGGACTGTGAGCTCGCCTTCATTATGTGCAACCAGGTATAAGCGTCTTGCAAAACATTCAAACAAACCCAACCGTACACATTCAGCAACCAGTAGAAATGCACCTGATGGTCGCTTTTACACTTGCATGGGCATACACTGAGAGTCACGTATGCAGCTTTGTCTCTACGTGCATATCTTCTCACACACACACGCATCTCTGTCTACGCTCGTCGCAAATTAAAGTATATCCATATCTTCGCTCACATACATACGTGTCTACGCGTTGTTGGCTCCATTTGTATTAGCAGCTTTTGCGATTGAATCGTTGCGGGTACTTCCTACGGTGCCACTCATCCCTGCGTGCCTAAAATACTGGAGGTGTTAACTTTACATGTCAAATGGAGAGCTTATAGGTACATAAATATCCGGGAATTCAGCAAACCACGCATTTAGGCAGGAGCGCAGAAGCACGAACAATTAAGCAGAAAGCTATGCACATATACACAAGTCTCTCGCTTCTCCGCTTGGTTTCACCTTCCTTTCAGGGCCACGTCTCTGCCGACTGCGTCGTTTTAGACCCATTTGTGGGCACTGGAGGTCTCCTAATAGCTGCTTCTCACTACGGGTAAGTTGCATTTGTGCAAAGCAAAAAAGCGAAACACGCTTGTGTGGAACAAACGAAAGGAATGATCATGAGAGAGGCTAAGGTGCACGCATTATCCCGTGTTTCTCTAATTAAGACTGCGCAGCTTTTTGTATTGAGTTCATTGGCTGCATGGTATTTGTTGAAATCTGTTTTTTTCTCTTACTTTTGTCATCACTTGTGGTGATGTGACATTTCTGCAGAGCTTTTTGCATAGGCTCAGATATCGATATACGAGTGCTAAAGGGCTATGGCGTCTCCTACCTAAACCCCCACTTGGACTTTAAAGAAAGTAAGGTCTGTTTCCCGCTGCGTTTACTTGTTTGTGTAGACTTTGTTTGTTTCTGACTGTGAGGGGAACCTCGTGTAGCAGAAGGACTCTGCGAAAATCCGTCTTTTCTGTTCATTCCCACACATATCACACTGGATTCTTGTTGTTGTTTTGTCGGTCACCAAGGCTCACATATACAGTTTTTGAGAGGACGAGTTCGCCTGTGCTTTTCGTTACGTAGAGCGGACGGATGTGTTTCGCAACTTCGACGAATATGGGCTGAAGCGACCAGAGATCATCCGCTGCGACAACGCCGCGTGGGTTAGTCTTCACGCATCTACCTTGCTTTTGCCGACTTTCTTATTCTGCTGTGCTTTTAAGGTCCTCCTTGTCCTCATTCGTGGCTTTCACACGATTTTGACTTGTGTTCTACCGTGCCTGCCAAACAAATGTGTCTAGTTCTGTCCATTTCCGCGTTTGTTTGTGTAGACAAACTGTCCCCTTTTACTGCTTTTTGGGTGTATTTGGCGCCTGCTCATAGGTTTGGCGGCTTCCTTATGAAGAAAGAGCTGACGAAACAGCTCAGAGTTCACTAGGGAGCTCTGGCGAAAAAACAGTTGTGCACGGCGTACAAGCTGCCTACTTGTCAAGGAACGTAGAAGGAGGAAAGCCCTGGGTTGATTGCATCATGACAGACCCGCCGTATGGTGCGTCTACAAACGCGTGTCTACCTGTATCATCTTTAAAAAGCTGCTTAGTACTTTGGTAGTGACGCAAAGTGATTAGTGAAGTCCATATGCCACATAATGGTCTCATGCCCCGGTGTGGGATCGGCGGTGATTATTTTAATTAGAATGAACAGACAAACACATTCTAAATGACTCATTAGTCGCCTTTGTTTTTCCTCCAAGGTATTCGGGCCGGAGCAAGGCAATCAGGACACACAAAGAAATGCAAGCGAAACCCACAGACAAGGAGTAATGAGGAGTAAGTTGGATTCATCACGTCGTATGCTTCTGTACATTAGTGGGTTTCTAGTATGAAGCGAATGTCCATTAATGGGCTGATATAACGTGAATGCGTAGCACTGATGCCCATGCAAAGCGGCTTGCACAAAAATGCATGGATACGTGAGGTGAAATAAGCGCAGCTCTTGACTGCGGGAAAGTACGCACGAATTGGACGAAAAATGTGAGCATCCCCACTGACGCTCTGTCTTTTTGCTGTATGCCTCAGCCGACTAACTTACATTCCGCCTACTGTAACATACAACTCGCGGGCCGTCGTCAGCGACCTTTTAAGCCTTTCTTCCCGTTTGCTGGTCGACGGTGGCCGGCTAGTCTTCCTAATGCCAGTTGAGCTCTCCAGGTGAGCTTTTTAGTCCTTAGGGGCATGGTGGCCCCACAATAAACTTTTTCAATTCAGCTGCAGGCCATTAGCCTATCTGTGTTTTTTCCAGTGCAGTGACTATGCAACACTCGCAAATACCGAGTTGCACAATAGTTTTGCAAGTTGTTACTTCGTGTATTAATAAGCATGCGATGACGCATGCATGTGTCAGCGCTACATGTGTGGCCAATTATTCATTTTCACTAGAATATGCAAAAGTGACTTCACTATGATTTGCAGTGGACTTGCTTGTTTTCTGTACTTTTGCATGCTGAGTTGTTGTGAAGCCGTGTTAATTTGTTACCCTTTCTAGCGTGTTCCTTTCTGTCCGCTTTCAGCGCGAGAGATGATATTGGCTGTCTTCACCACAGCGACTTGGATTTAATAGCAACGAGTTTTCAGGCTTTGTCAGGAGGTAAAATTTAGTGTGATAGGAAATAGTGCAGATGGAGAAATGAATCAATAACTTTCTGGTTATTAATTTATTTCAAGGGTGGCAATACAAACTCCACGCAGCCATGCACATGAAAAGGGCACAAGCTTGCTGTACACAAAAGGGTACAAGCTTGCTGTGCACTCTTCGCTGACGCGTGCATGCATTCCTGGATTTTCCTCAGCTTTAAAAAGATTAGGGCTCAGGGCTTATCTTTTTGAGTTGTTTGCTTTGTTGGCAGGCATGGGGAGAGTTCTAGTTACAATGCAGCGGAGGCCGCGGAAGTCGGCGGGAGGCTTGTAAGAAGCATCCCTTTAATCCATTGCCATTGTCGCGGCTACCTGCGGAGTTGACAATTATTAGATTCGTTGAGGTCCTCACGAAGACACAAATGATCGGGAGTGGAAAGGAGTGGAAATTAAATGCATGAAGTTGATTAAAGAATAGAAGGTGAATTCACATCAGTTCACAAACAGGTACGGGCTTGTGCGGCTCCTGCTCACAAGCGCTACTGCCTTCGGATGCCTGACTGTTTGGCGAAGGTGAGCAGCTGTTGGGTTCTTGTTGTTCGCAAATTTCTTCGACAGCCATTTGTTGTTGTCAGTATTTATATGGTATTCAAATGACTTCCTCCCCGGCAACGGGCCCTCGAAGGACTTTTCGATGCACCAAGGTGTTTTATTGTCATCAGGCGCCTCCGTGGGGTGCACATAATCTGACTTGCTGAAAATTTTGTAAAGGGATGCCCTTGGCTTAGTTGTCGAGCTTTTGCGAGTGTTTGAAATACCTTGGCGGTGTGACAAAGCGATGGAAGACCATATACACAATTTGCACACTCAGCCAGCTCAGGGCGCTAGAGAGAAGCAACCAGCAGAGATTTGACCATTGGTCACTTCCACTTGAGCTTGCTACGGACTTTTTGCGTGGCGCCTCATGAAACGGCTTCCACTCCCGGACAAGCGCGGGTGAGTTGCTTGGTATAACAACGCCGACCTGCGCTTCCAAATTTTGACCGACACATCTGAAGTAACAGAGGCTCAGCTTCTTACAGTGATTGCTCTAGAAACCTCCACGACACCAATTGTGGAGGGTGGGCTTCGCTTTGCGGTGAAAGTAACACGATTACATGCGTCTGCTGCCTCCAAACGGACAAGCAGCTGCTCATTACTTGTTACTAGAGTTTCCTCGCAAGCAATTTGGCAGCACACTCTTAAAGTAAACGGCAAGATACATTCGTGGCAGTAAAGAGTGTTTAAATTGCTGCTATTGAGGCCGTGGCCGGCAACGCCGCCGCTGAGGTAATGCAGTGAGCTCATCAAACCGATTCTCCACCACAATGACATGGCCTCTGTGCTTATCAGATAGCCGGAACATAGGAAAAACGAGCATAAATTCCGTTTGACAAATGACGAACAGCTCTTACTCTCTTGCATAATTGGCAAATGTTTACGGCAACAGTGCAGACCATCCTGGTGTATGTACACCACATAACCCTTGTGAACACAGAAGTGTTCCGCGTAGTTGCACAGAGTCACTCGATTGCAAATCTCCGATCAAAATATGGCATCTCATTAAGCTGAATTTGATCGCTGAGGCACATGCAAAGCTCCCAAATTACTTCCACGCGATGCGGCAGGCAGTTCTCCGCAGATATTCCTGCGCAGCAGTGCAAAGCCGGAGGCTTGTGATCCCCCGTGTCCGCTTGCTGACTATGCGCGCAATGCACTCCTCCATGTGGGCGAAAGTAACGTGTAATAGAGCGTGCACCTGTCACTTCTGAGAGTGTGCCGTTGTTCAAATCTGAACTAACCGCAAACCAAATTCACTTTCCCGTGATACTCTGTTTCACTGTGCTACTGCATGGTCATCTCGTTACCTCTACCTCTGCTTCTGTGTGTCTGTGTCCTTTTCCCTTCGCCTGTAGCTCGAGGTACATCTCTGCAGCAATTCGATTTACTTTTCTATCCTCTACAGTGTTGTTGCCTAGCACTCGGATGAGGTTCCTTCATGCAAAAAATGCCAAATAAAGTAAGTTTATGCATGACCCATCTGTACAGATCTGCATTGCACATGTAGTTTCTGTCAAGCTCTGCAGCGTCCCTCTTCCCCCGCGCTGCTGCAGCCTACGCTGCAGCAGCAGGCCTAGCACCGAAACCCTAACTGTATGCCCGGAGCCCTTGGTGCGCCAGCATGCCGCTGCAAAAGCTGCTCATCCTCCGCCTCTACTTTCCTTCGAACCTGCACCAGCTTCTGGTGCTTTGGCGCTGCACTGCTCCAGCATTATAGTCCGTGCAACGGCTACGCGTTTCTGGAGGTAGGGGGAGCCTGCGAAGTTCTCGGAGGGTGCATTGATCTGAAAAAGGCGGTTGTAGCGAGCCATTACTTCCTCCCGAGTGGGCAGCTGACTGTTCGGCCCGCAGGGAAAACCCAAAATCTTGCGAGCCTCGTCAACACTCATGCGAGGACGCAGAGTCAAAGGCGCTGAACGGCTAGAAGTGCTGCCGGCCGCAGCAGCGCCCTGTCGCGCTGCATCTTTGTAGGCCTGTGGACACGGCAAGAAAAGGCCAATTACCATGCACTGTAGCCTGAACCCGGGGTCTCAGCGCAAGGGCTGCTACTTCATGAACAACTCAGTAGCCTCCCTTCTCGTGAGAACTGACTGGCTATGTGCCCCTTACGACTTACTCGGACTACTGCTCGACCAAGGGAAGAACCCGCGACGGCAACAAATTGCACAACAATTCGCCCCAAGGGCCCCAACGCCATTTCACGTCACAAGACTCAAAACAGCACGGGCTGCGCCTCATTCATTCCTCCGCTGCTTCCCTCCTGGGAAGGTGGCGGCAGAAATCGAAGGTGCCGGTAAATGGACTTCGGTGCTGATCTTTAAAGTATGAGGCGGAAGGAGGGGGAAAAAACGTGAAAAATCAAACTGGCTCTCAGAACGGACGGGCAGGGGTCGAAGACATGCCCTCGCCTTCACTCCACTTGAGCAGCGCCTTTTGCACAAGCCTCAGCGTCACAAATTCCTACAGCGTTGTTCCAAGTCTGAGATAATTGGAGTTCTACGAAAGAAGCACAGAAAAAAGGGGACAAACAGGGAAGAGTTGTGGCGTGGTGGTCACGTCAGCTGAAACCCACGCAGCGCCTCCAGCGATTCAAATAGCAGGGAGAGGGAGGAAGAGGCAGCGAAAAAAACTCAATAGTGGTCGTGTTGATGCATTATAGTTGATAATCATATTAAATTACAAACTGCACAGACGGGGGGACGCAGCCCCACAACTCGGAAGCTGGAATAGACTACTGCTGGTGGCAATTAGAGCTCACATAGCCAGTCAGCAGCATCTTCATCTGCGGTTCTAAAGAGTTTTGGGAAGGAAAAGAAATATATATTTGTATATAGCGGCGTGAATTGGATATGCAAGGCAATTTATAATGCCCATAGCTCGTTCGTCGGCTGTGCATGGGGCCAGCTGAAGGGCTTGGGCGCTGCCTGTGAGTCACTAGTGGCGCGTCTTTAAGGCAGGAAATTTATATGCTTAAAGTTTTCTCTAAATTAGCAGACACTTTAGCAGCCAGTCGTAGCGTCTTCTTCAAGCTTCACGCTCCTTGTCGGCCTCAACGCATCGCCTTATTCTGGTGGCTGGCAGCTCCTGCTGCCCCAGAGCACGCCGGGCTACCCTGTGTCTACTTGAATCTATCCGAGGCACGATATTCGCGAAAAGTGCTCCGGGTAAGCTCCGCTGTTTTCACTGGGTGGCTGCGTGCCTTCATACAGGGACATATGCGCATAAATAGCCACACACTGGTTGCGCGTGTGCACCTGAACAACGAACGTATGACGGAAAGGAGCTGCGAGCACGTCTTGATAAAGCTCCACTGATTTCAAGCTAGCAGCAGATGAGCACATTTGCGAGCTTAATTGACAGGATACATGCCTTCCACTCGTGCAATGTGCATGCGCGCTGGTCGCAAATATGCAAATGCGTATTGCATAGGGCTGTTTGTTTTCGTATGTGGCCACGTTCATGCACGACATCCTCAGTAGCAGCGACATTAACAATGGCAGCAGTGGCAACGGGGCCACTAGCTGTAGAGTCCAACAGCTGCAGCTGTCCCAGCATGAACGTCAGCATCAGCAAAAGCTGCACCGACAGCAGCGTCAAAGAACGGAGAGTCAGCAGCCTCCAAAATGGCGCCAAAATCATCCCAGCACGGGTACCAGAGAGACTAACCACAACAGCCACAACGCCAGCAGCAACGGCGCCTGAGGAATCCAGAGAAACACTGCATAACCACACTTCCGGGCAACTGCTTGGCTGGCTATGCAGATATTCCTGCAGAATCATGCCCAGGAAGAAAGGCGGCATTTATGAAAGCATCTGAAGCTGTCTCGGCGTGTTTTTTACCTAGGAGACGCAGTTGTACTCGAGAGCTGTTTTCAAATAGGTTGCACTTTGACTTCTATGAATCGAAATGTGCTGCTGTTTCACCGCGCAGAATGGAGAGCGAGGAAAGCCACAGCAGCGGGACCGCTGCGCCTGCTGCAGAACATAGCATTGAGAAGGAGGCGTTTATGTCTCTGGCGCATGCATGCCCTCACCAGCCTCTTCACTACTCCTACGCCTTAACTCCTTCTCGGTGCTTCGGTCTGTTTTGCTCCGCCACAGCAGCAGATCAGCTGAAGGTGGAGCAGCGGTGCCTCAAGTGCTTCAGTGACTTATTTCCTGCCCTAGCTCCACACCCTTCGTCTCTCTCCTCACAGATCGCCTCTCCAGGCCACCCACAAAACCAGCAGCGGCTGCAGCAGAAAGGGGAACAAGGCAATGCTGACGATGAGGAGGGCAATGCGGACATGCCTATAGAGGATTTAGAGTTTCTTTGGAAGCGGGCAGCACGTCAGGTGTCTCTTCACCGCAGCCGGCATGTCGCCTTTCTTACAAAGCATTTAGACGTACCCTTTTCAGAAGAGATGATGGAGTTGGCAGCCTCCAGGCCTTGGCTCATTTACTGGATGGTTCATGGCCTCGCCCTCCTTGAAGCCCTTCCGAGAGCTACCTATGCCGATCGGTACGGCATAGTGAAGTCTATTCATTTATTGTACTTTGCTCATTACGACACCAAAGCACTTGAGCCCAAAGCAGCGTTCATACAGGACACAGCTACGCAGGCTAGCGTATGCGTATCTGTGCCTTGGCAACTCGCGTATATTTTCGTATGCGCTCTTATGGAGCTGTTGACAAGTTTCGTGAATTAGCTGCTTCTCGCCTCCTGTGATGCACACTTGTTTAATTGCTTTGCCTGCTATTTTTATTATTTTGTTGGAAATACGTTTAATGTGCAGCCTGTTGATGCCACTGTCTGCACTTGCTTCACTTGAACCATTGTGTGCAGCATCCTACACACTCTAGAACGCTGCTGGGACAGCGCATCAGGAGGCGGCTGGGGTGGGGGCCCAAATCAACAGTTCCACTTGGCCTGCACGTATGCGGCTGCAGCTGCACTTGTGGAGTGCGGCCTCGTGGGCAAATGGCTGGAAGGAGAGAAGGGCCTTAAGAGGCGTGAAGACCTTTACAAGGCGATTCTCAGTCTAAAAAGTGAATGCGGAGGCTTCAAACTGCACAGAGATGGGGAGGTCGACATGCGGTAAACATAGCGTCTAGGTTTTGACGCACTCAAAAACTTGGAACATTGTGTTTGCAGTTAAAGGGCTTCAGTTTATATTTCCAGTTTAAACATTATTCGCATCACTTCCTTGTACTTGCCGAGGCTCGCTTCCTTGCACCGAATATCAATACTTTTTGTCCTCTAGTATTTCTGTTCGGTTGCTCGCATGCATGGCCTCGTACCCGTCATCGTGCTTCTCTACCATAGCGGCCTTGCATTTCTGTCGTCTTCTGTTGCGTCTTCCGTGCGCTGCGGTCATTTCCCTTTGTCTACCACTGTTTGTTTCCTCTACTGTCTACCTTCTCAAGAGGGGCTTACTGCGCCATCGCCACGGCCTCCATATTCCAAGTTCTTACGAAAGACCTCACGAGAGGCCTTGCGGAATACGTCAAATCCTGCCAAGGCTACGACGGAGGCATAGCTGGAGAGCCAGGGCTTGAGTCCCATGGCGGTTATTCGTATTGCGGTTAGTCAAACACTTTTTCTTCTACATTGCTTGCGGTTTTCCTTCTATATGTCGTTGTGGCTGTCCGTGTGTATTGCATGTATATTCGTTTGCGGGTGTGTTTCCTTCTGTTCTGAGTCATTCGTATTTCTGTTCGGTTTTTTCCTCATTTTCCTTTACTGTTTCGATGTGCATGCGTCTGAATGCGTCTGTTGTCTGCTTGTACCCTTCTGTCGCCATCAGCTTCGTGCGTGCATCTGCATATTTCACCCTGCACCAAACTTCTGCGCCTGCTTGTACTTGTATTGGCCTTGCCTCCAAGCAAGGCCATGCCACCACAACAGCAACAGCAATAACAGAACAGGCTTCAACCTAACTTGAACTAAGGAGATAGATTGAGCGAACCACGAAACGCCAAGGTTGCTTGGCCTGCTTTCTTCGTGTTTTCAGGACTTGCTGCCCTCGCCATCATTGGAGAGCCAGATGCGTTGGACTTAGACGCTTTGCTCCACTGGGCCGCCACAAAGCAGAGAGGATTTGAAGGAGGCTTTCAAGGAAGAACGCAGAAGCTTGTCGACTCCTGCTACTCCTTTTGGCTTGTGAGGATTGCTGGGAGTGTACACACTGCCCACATAACCCTACAACTTCTGACCGTGCATTCACGGGATGCACCCAAGCTACTGCTTGCATGCATATTTGCGAATTTCATTCATCGGCTTGTCTCTGCGTGTAGTTATTCGTGCTTGCGTGCTCCTTTCATCTTTCACCTCTGGCTCAGTGCGTGACTTTCCTCTGCATTTGTCTGTGCCTTCTAACACGTTCTGAAAGCTACGTTTCCGGGTACCTTTGTCTGCACTTGCCTTTCCCTGCACAATTATTAGGGAGCCATGTTTCCCTTGATTTCGGAATGCCTTCGTCATCTCCAGCGGGAGTACCCAATGACGCATTGCTTTATGTCTTCGGCGCATCTCCAGCAGTACATTTTGTGTTGCTGCCAGGCAGAAAATGGAGGGCTCAGAGACAAACCCGGCAAGTACGATAATGCGAATTTTTGCAAAGCATTTACGGTACTGATTAGTAGATTCGGAAAGTGTGCATGAGTATGTGAGCGCATTACCAATAGATACATGTGCTAATTCTGCACAAATGCGAACCCATATGTACATCGGAAGACACAAACACACACATAATAATGGCTTCATCTAAAAGTTCATGTTCTTCAAGATAACACAGGCTGTATGCAGATCAGCAAAGAGGCATGCAGCTTATGGGTTCACAACCATAGGAACTTACTTAGGGCTACTGGGTGCATGCACGCGGGTGCGTTGCAGGCCTCCTGACCTCTACCACAGTTGCTATGCGCTGTCTGGTCTATCGATCAGTCAGTATGCTGCGTCCCGAGCGGAATTCAGTAGAGGGCCGTATGTGTATGGATGTTGGAAGTCAAATTTGCTGCAGCAAACAGATCCCTTCTACAATGTTTGCTGCACACACATGCAAGAATGTAGAGAGCAACTGAAGCAATTGCCGCGTTTTACGGCGCCAGACACGCAACACGCTGGACAGGAAGGAGACCTCCCAAGACTCAGTGCAGAGTTGACCGACAAGCTATCTAGGGCAGCCATCAACCTGCGTGAAGACGAGGGTAAGGAAATGTGGCATCTGCCATGCCATTTGCTTGTGTCAACCCCTCTGTGCACCTGCCTTTGCCTTTGTGCACCTTTATCGCCGTTTGCCGGCTTGCGTTCATGCTCATGGTCCTGCGCCTGTTTCTGCACAGATGCGTCAGTGCCCGTGGCTGTGTTAGACTATACATATATCTAGTGATATGCCTTCCCCTTCATCTCTTCCAATTTATTATGCCAATGTCGTTGCTTGCGCCTGTATTTTTTGTCTTCCAGTCCACCTTTAGCGGTGGGCGAGTTCTTCAGCGAGTGTCTTTGTGAGCCTTTGTGCTTGTTTCTGCTGGGGTTATTACGCACACGCAAGTACATGTGCCTTTGCCTCTTTGCATCCGCATATTTACGGCTGAAAAAAATGCGTACATGTGCATCCATTGGCCACCGTGTCTATCTTGAAGGAGTTAACGTTCATCGAAGCGCGCACCCATTCAAAGCATGTCTACGTATCTCGAATGCATTCTGGATTTTTCCTACTATGAAAAGCCTGCCCTATGACTTTAGCCTGTTTAGTTGGTTCCTTTTGTGTTTAGGTTCCGAGTGGGTGGACCCGGAGAGCGAAGCAGAGTCTTCCTAGCTTCAAGCGAAAATTGCAGTCGCAACAAACTAAATTCAGAAGGCCACGGTCGACGCGACAGGTCCAGAAAAGACTCGATGAACTGCCTCCTGTTCCCTCGCTTGTTGTTTGCTTTGCCTTGAGGCTTACTTTTTAGTGTAGGCGCCCTTTGAAGAAGCCACTTCTCTGTTTCTGGACCCCACTGTTGTTCTAACACGGCGTTCTTGGTCAATTTAAAGACACGCGACTTTCACAAAAATAGGGAAAATCAGCTAGGACAAAACAAAGGAATGTTTGTAGAGAGACAAGTGAGCAGAGAGGTCAAAGAACACTTAAAAGATGCAGGTGTAGACCGGACTGAGGGACAGCGGCAAGAAACATGCGGACAGATGCACACGGAACCAAACATAAAAGGCGTTCTCTGGGACTAACAAGTGGACTATGCTCCAAATTCACCTGTCCATTGGGCTGTTTCGCCAACCGAACGCGTAGACTGCTCATGAAAAAATTCTTGGGGGAGTATGCTCTCAGCTTCCTCATGGCGGCTTACTACGTTCTGAAAACTAAATTATCAAGCCCTAAAAACTCCGCTCCTAAAACAGTCCCATAGATTGAGACACTACAGTTCAAACATTCCTCATGAAGGCCTTGTTGTAAATCCGCTTAATTCCGAGCGGGGGGAGGGCGCTTCTACTTAAACTGCCTTGATGAATATGCAAAATACGCAGGTGTCTGCAAGTGCAGTCTTGAGTTCAGAGAGCGCGCTGATCCAGGATGCCGAAACCGTGCTCTTCATATTCTTGTTTGCTGATCCACATCTGCTGAAATGTTCCTAGAGACGCCAAAATGGAACCACCAAGCCACGCGGCAGACTTCTTCTCGGCGTAGGAATTTGCAAAGACGACACGCGATTTCAAACCCGAGTGTGCCGTCGTTAGGGGGAAAGTCTCGCTATCAAGTTCCGCAGCAAAGCGGCTTGCTAGGCCTTCAAGTAGAAACACAAAGAAGCACAGACACAGCCAGAATAGAAAACACTTCCATACTTATGGAGAAGAAGGGCACAAGAAAAAAAACCCGGAGAATTAGTATATATTGTCACCTTAATAAACACCTAATGGGCACTGATGGCGATAGAGTGACATGGAAAAAAACAAATCGACAAGAAGGCACAGAAGCACATAGTAAGAGCAAATAGAGCAAAGTAGGCTAAGTGGTACAGGCAAAAAATACGAGGAGGCGAAAACGAGGATGCCTGTAAAGGAGCAGCATCCACAAATTCTACTGACACGGCCGCCGAATAGCAGGTGGCATGAAGCTATTCGTACAGACTAAACATAAAAAGCAAAACGCATATGGATTCCAAAAGTTACAAATTGAGGGCCTTCAATCTCCGTCACCTGGTGTGAGTGAAAGCCCGCCAGTCAAAATGACAGCTGAAAGAAGATCTCGGCGAAGGTCCACATCACAGTCGTACAAACAATCAGCAACGACCTGAGCACACGAAAAACCAACCTGAGGCGGAAAACGTCATCAAGGAATAGAACTGAAGTAGCCTCTAGAGAGAAAAACGTAGTGGGTACCGAGATTCCCACGCCACAATTTATCACCTCTGTGATCCCTTTAAATCCCTGTAGAAGATCTGCTGAGCTTTCCGCTGGCGATATCCCCTGCAGCTGCTGAAGTGCACGCAGGGCTTCTGCTGGCCTAAAAAGAACTTCGCCAATAGTTTCTCTGAACGCTCTACAGTTGATTACGGAACCGTCGGGGAGCTCAAAATGGTAAGTGTCTTCAAGCGTGTGCGCAGCTCCTTTCTCCTGGGTTTCAACAGCAGTAACGGACAGCGGCAAATTTGCATCGCCAAACTCCCTCACAACGCAACATGCCTCCCGTAGGCGGCGGCAAAGAGCCAGCGTGCTAAGTCGAAGCAGTGATCTGCTGCAGCTGCCCCTGCTGCTGCAATTGTAGCTGCTGCGGTTGGAAAATAGTGGCAGGAACAGCTCGTCCACATGGTGCTGTTGCTGCTGTTGCTGCTGAAGGTGGCGCTTGAGCACCAACTCGATCTGCCCGTCTAAGAAATCTCCACCAATAGGAAACAACTTGGTGCTCCTGTGGAGCGTGTATCCATCAACAACTGCAGCAACGGATCCTCCAGCTGCTCCTAGCTCAACGACAAGGGCTGTGCTGCGGCCCATCGAGAATGCAGCGGCAGCAGCAGCAGGGACAAAGAAAGCAGCTGGAGCTTGTAGGTCTTCAAATACGGCAGCGGCTAGTGACTGACGTAGAGCTGCCGATGTTCCTGTCGGCTCCACAACGAGCACAGGGTGCTCATGAGTCCATACACCCAAGCCGCCAAATGGCGAACACCCAAATGCCTCCACTGACGCGCTGCCGCTCTTGCTACTGCTGCTATTGGTTAAGCTGATATTTAGAGCCTTTGGGCTACCCTCCGGTTGATGAGCTGTCTGGAAGACACCATTACATCCTGCTGCTGTTTGCTGGCGCTGCTCCCGCTTCGTGCAGCAGCAGCTGCAGCTGTGCTGGCTATAGCTGGCCTCTTCAGCCTTCTGCTGCTGCTGCTGCTGTTGACGTCTCCGTGTCTCCGGAGGTCTAACAGTTCTCTTGCTTGCCTCACTTTCGTGAACATTCCCCTCAATGCATATTCGCACCGCAGTCGAAAACGCACTTCTGTCCAGCTGCCTAAAGAGCCCATGCTCCTGCGACAGCGGCAGCTGCAGCGCTACTTTTTTACTTTCTTCTACTGGCCCTGTAGAGCTCGCAACGCCTCCTCCTAGAGCAGGGCCTGCCGTTGCTCCAGCTGGTTTTTCTTTCGGGGAGGCAAGTATTGGATCTATTTCAGTGTGTGGTGTCTGCAGCTCTAAAGAGACGGGAAACACAATCTGTTGATGACTACATTGACAGCTGCAGCACGTGTTGCCCCCTGAAGGCCATATAAATGGGCCCCGGCTATAGAAAACAGACGGAGATACACCACTCGACCTAGTCCAGCGTAAACAATTCCGCCGCCGGTGCTGCTGGTTCTGTGTATCTTTGATGTCAGTGTCTGGGGGAGCACATAGAGAAGCTTGAGATCTACAACAGCAACATTCCCCACAAAATAGCCCGTCCCCTTGCTGTTTGTTCTGCAAGCGAAGCTTCCTCCTACCCACAAGAGCATCAGCAACGATGCGCGGGTGGTCTTCTTGCGCATACCCAACACTCACAGTTGAAGACCCTAGTTGGACCACCACAGCACAGACGTCCTCACCACCAATGGGAGTTTTCATGTTGTTGCTGCTGTTGCTTGTACTTTTGCTACCTTTAGCTCCGGAAGCCGGAGGCGGAGACGCTGATAACCCACTCATCTTCTGGAGCAGCGATCCCAACCCGATGCATCAGTGGTGGGACTAGCCACGGATAAGGAAACCCATACGAATGCCGAGATAAAACAGTTAGACAAAGTGGATGTGCCTGTCAATGGTGCAGGAACGAGAAACAGTGGCGAAGTTAAGAAATGGACAGGCCACAGGGGCCCTTGACAGGTGTCTTGGTGGCTGTGTTATCAAGAAGGTAGGCAGCCCTCGCGGTTGGAACTCAAGCATATTCATTTATCTATATTTTAGTGAAATAGACTGTAGCAGTGAAAATGAATCGAGTATGAGCAACGCCAGCAAAGCAACGCCCTGAACAAGCAAGGTAAAGCCTGGCATTACAGTTAAGACTCGGACTTCTGCCGACAGATCCAGGAAGTCCACAACCGTTAGGCTAAGCCAGAATTTCAAAACTAGTCATAATTAGTCAATAAGCAACACGATTACGGGCGTAAGGCTCGCAAGCCAATAGCACTAAACGGGGCTGGAGGAGACTGACTGCACTACGCGAAAAAAAAGAGGCGAAGCTGTTTTGATTGGTTTGTAAAACCTATAGCTTTCAAGCTTCTACGCTTCCGTATACTATTCCCTAGAAATTTAGGGCTAGTGAGTGTCCATTACAAAGACCAAGCCTATAGATGATGGAGTAATAGATGCCGCCCGTCGAAGTGCTTGGTGCACCTTTGCAGACTGTGTTTGCAGAGAAGGCATGGCATTGTGCAAATGGTACAAATTTCCACTCGGTATTCTAGCTGAGCTCCGCTTAGGCGCACAGTACGGGAGTCGCCCGATCTGGCTGGCTAGTGCTCCAAACGTCGGCTTCTCTGTCTTCGGTGGCGTTTATGATTTGGAACTACGTCTTTCCCTCCATGAGATGTGCTCTCCCTTGAGCTGTCCTACACTTCTTACGGAACAATTTTGCCTTTTTTTTCTCCATGGTAGACTAGAACGGCCCTGGAGAAATGGAGCTTGCTCTCAGGCCCAATGGCTCTTTGTGGGCTACAGCTAGTATATTCCTGTGGCTACTACTACGGCATACCTCCTAGCTGTCCTCAGTATACTGCCGAGCTTAAAAGACACCAAGGAAGGTGTACAAAACAGCGATGGACTGGGTCCATGCAGTCAGCGCAACAGACACAATGGGGACGAGGGGATCCAACGCTGCTACCGAGGGCGGATCACTGTAGAGATCCGAACTGGGTCCGTTTCTGAGTCAGAATTGGCCAAGCAGAATCCAGAAAAGAGTTGCAAGAGTTATGGCCTACTGTGGTTAAGCAATCTGGCGACACTGGTACGGAGTTTTAGAGGCGTCCGCTGCTGAACTAGTGACGCGATTGCAGTCACGACGAAAGAATATTAAGCTGGACATACAAAATGCTTGCTCACTGCGTCACGATGGCCCACGGGGCTTCTAAGGGCATGCTTTGTTGTAATTGATGCTCTAGCTAACGGCGTACTCCAGGAGTTCCCTTTGAGGCCTTTACTTATTGGACGCCACCCTCATTGGCTCTGCTATTCCATAGGGAGAGACATTTAGCAGCAGCCTTGGCGGGAGTAACTTTTCTCAAGACTTTCATACCTTTCACCTGCCGTGTTCAGTGACACATGAAAACTCCGGCAATCTGTCGTATGGAGCTCCAATTAACTCTTCTCATGAAGGCTACGGACTTTGCAATGAGTCTTCTGTTTTCTGCCTGCATACCCGCAGAACTTTTATTTTCCTTCACTTTCATGAGTTTCATCACTGGAAGCACCGCGTGCCGCTCAGTCCAAACGTAATTTTTCAACTTTCGTGTCTTCCGTTTGAACGATTTTATTTGGTCCTTCAACTAATTCTGCTTGCCCTCTTACAGTCTTATTTTTGTCTTCCATCGAGACTTTATATTCACTTAAGGCCGTTTTGTGGAGCAACAGGAGGCCTTTGCCCGCCGCGTGCGATGGTGCATGCTGCACCGAGCATTGCAGTGCTGAGAAGAAACAGCCTTCAGGATTCACAAATTGCGCCATAATTAGTATTGGGACTAGCGCAAACTTGGTTCGCATTAAAAACCAAATTTTTGCTACAGAGGGCGCTTGGGATACTTTTAAACTAGTCCAGGCTGGCGGGCCTGAAATGTCAGTTATTGTGCCGCTAGTCACATTCACGTCTAAAGAGACAAGAAAAGACGTAACTCTATATTCAGGACCCTCGAACAAGACAATATCAACGCTTGACGGTACTAAAAGTATCGTTCGGTGTTTTTCCTAAATAAAGGCAGGAGTGCACCTGTGCGGCGAGCTACGGATACCTTGTTTACGCTAGGCTGGGAGTATCTAGCTACAATTGGTGGCGACGACAACATATTTTTTCTTTTAGTGGTGTGTGCACTGAAGTAGTGAAATTTAATCTTACTAAATTCTGGGACCTCTAACGGCGCACACATCAGTGCTTACTAGTTAAGCATCTACGCAAAGGGAAGGTTATAAGCGGACAGGGTGCAAAATCCGCCGAAGCACAGTGTATGGAACGCCCTTCAGACCGGGCAGATGGCAGCTCTTGTTCTCACAACACCAAACCACCAAGACAAGTGCATACTTCCACAAAAGGTACCTATCAAAAGGTAGGTAGGAGCATCTGCGCAGAAGGCAGACAACTTATGGGAGCACTAAGAAAGGTAGCCCGGCCAAGCATAGGAATTATGGGCGAGGAACAACCTACGGGAAGCTGCATAGGAAGTAGTTGCTGTTTTATGTAGCAAGACAGCCAATCGCCATCAAGTCTTCCCTAGCTGGAGGCAGAGGCCTCTTTCACAAGAAATAGAGGGACCACAGTGCGTCCTGCCTTCAGAAGAATCTAAGGTGTGTTTTAGGCAAGCAAAGCCGCTCCGAAAAGAGCTGCGTATAGCTACTGCAAGAAACATTAGCGTGAAGAGCCGAAGCTGTGACAGTACCTCCCCCACAACCCGTATTACCCACTACGTGACGTACCTGATACTGAAAAAGTGGGGAACACGAGAAGTTTTGTTGTGAGCAGCTGCATACTGAGATGTTGACAGAGCGCCACAGCGCACTCTACAGTCTCGGCATAAAAGCTACGCTTGTTTCTGTTGTGCTTGGGCGTAGGCGTGAGGGACTTCATGGCGCAGGTGCATCACGTAATTTCTTCAGCTTGACTATTGGACTATTGGTCACGGAGCCTGACAAACGGTCTTAATATGCACTGTGAATGTTACCATGCAGACGGTCTACCACCCTGATACTTAAGCGTAGCAGCAAAACATATCAAAACCTTTCCGTGGCGACACTGGCTGTTACCTTGACTTTTTCGCCAATTTTTAACAGCTTACCATCACTTACTTGAAAGGCGCACGTAATCAGATGGCGGATGCACTGTACCGTCCCCCAACCAACAGCCTATTCGGCCTGCTGTCGATGAGCCCTCTAATTTCTGGCGCTTCCCACGGTCCACTCGCCGCGTTAGCAGCGGTGGTGAGCTGTATATCAAATTTCACCAAGAAGCGCCTGGAAGCATATCGACAGATAGCAGGCGTATGCCTGGTGGTGCTTTCAGCCCAGTTTCTTTGCGCTATCTTTTACTCTTTCAACGGACGCGTTTTGATCAGGCTTCGACTTCTTTCCAGCATCCGTCCAGCGCGCGCCATCCCTCACAGACGCCAGTCATTACTAAGGCACGACCCCTTACCGGGAGCTGGAATTCCCTTTCCCCCCAGCGAATTTCGGCTTATCCAGAGTGCCTTGTCTTCCGCAAACCTTATCGTACTCCAGCGCTTCAAAACGATGAACCTTTTCGACGCGGATTCTATAGTCCTCAGTTTACTTTTTGTCTTAAATGCCTTTCCTGTGATTTCTACGGGGTTTGGCAAATGCATACTTCACAGTTCTCTGAATTCGTCATGCACATGCTTTGCAAGCTTCCTAGTCACGTAGCAGCGGAGCATCGCGGGCACGTGAAGACCTTCGTCACCCTGAGTGAGCATTAATACTGACAAGGAGGTACTACGATATATGTGCAATCTTGCATTCACCGCCGTGCTTCCAAATTCGTCAGTGGGAAGCCACTAGGGAATTTGGAGCCTGTCAGGCTCCCCTCAGGGGGAAGCCTGACGGGCTTCTCCAAACGGCGTTTTTTCCCTGTTGCCCCTGGAGTCATTCCGTTCTGGACTTCGTTGCATATGTGCTTTTCATTTCCTCTGTGCAAAACTCATTTTCGGTGCAAGTTGACTTTCTAGGCAACATGACCCACTTTATTCCAGCAAAACAAATAACATCGTTAGCAGCTGACAGCTGACACTGCGGAGCCACCTGCGGGCAATCTCACTTGCTAGCGCAGATCTACTTAAGTTCTTAATTCTGATACAGACCCTCCTTGGCAGTTAGAACATAGCACATCTCTTCCGCTCAGAACTGTGGCAGTGGCTGTGCACTCGGTTAAGCATAAAACGTTCTATCTCTTCTACCACATGCAGACAGACGGGCAAACTGAGCATGCTACTAATACACTGGGGTAGGTTGGCACGGGTACACGTATATTCAAGCTGACAAAGACAGTGGCTCTCAATCTAGACTGTAGTGCGACGAGTCATACGTGCACTAAGCTCTCTATGCTCGAACTCATAGTTGGCAAAACCCTCTAATGGCCGCCGGCCTTGGCATTCTCGATGCTTTAGTACTCGCTGTCGCGCCCCTCAAGACTAAGTTGCGTCACCAGCTCTGCAAAAACGACGCTCAGAGTCACATCTTACGCGAGAACTCCCAACAGAAGGCATGCACAGGCTTTAGAAGTCGCTCAGTCGAGTTCAATGCGGTGAAAAATGTTTTGCTGAACAGCAAACACTTGCCCTCTATAAACACATGCTCTCCATTCGAACCTCATTACGATCGGCCCTTCAGCACTACCGACCGTGTAGGCACGGTCGCGTACCGTCTGGTTTTGCCACCGGCGCACTTTGACGTGCTTGAATTTGTGACACATCACTCTGGCGAAAGAAGCCACTTCAGCTTATGTTACGGCGCTTCTTGTGTCCGCAGTATAACGTGTACACCCACGTTAAAAGAATAAAGGCAAGCGGGTAGGTTGGGCGGCGGTGATAGTGATGGAATTGTTAGAGACGATTCGGTAGAAGCCACCCTGGAGAGAGCAACTGCCACTAGGATACACGCAGAAGCAGATACCCAACAACAGGCAAATAGCAGCAAAAACATATCGTGAGCTACTGCAGAGGCGGCAAACGCCGCGGCTGCTGCCTGCGCAGTAGCATTATAGGTGAAAAAAGTTCCAAAAAGACAAAGGGCGCTAGGAAGGAGAGGGCGAAAGCTGCTGAAAGCATCAGCGGAGAAATACGAGATAGGGAGGCTGCTGCCGTGCGTAGCATGACATGCTTTACAGAGGCAGCCTTTAAATGCTGCCAAACTTGAACAGATCTGCTTAGAGTATCAAAAAATAGTTTGGACGAAGGAGTTTGGTTTTTGCCATAGCACAGACTTATACTTTCCAAGGAGCCCAGGGTCAAGAAGCGTTGTGCGCGAATCTCTTGCTAGTTCTACCTGCACTCAACATGTAAGTAAAAATTTCACTCGATTTATTCAGTTTGTACGAGCGGTTATTCATACTCAACATCATAAGCAATTTAAGCATGTTCAATTGCCAAAATGACACTTGATTCCTTATTAAGATAAGCTACAAGAACTTACTACGTCCATCATAATTTTTGTCCATTGCATCGTCAGTGTATTGGTTCGCGTAATATGAGTGTAGCTAACTGCAACAGTAATGCACATCAGAATCGCTGCCGTGTAAGGCTGCAACGACGTATACGAATGAAATCCAGAAAGCAGCTCGCAGTAAAGCCCTGCAGCTCATGGTTATAAATATGCAGAAATGACTGGGACGGACTGTGACGTCAGTCAAGTGCATTTACCATGGCCACCTAGGCTGTCTTGATATCATTGTGTTGCTTGCTATTCGCACCAGCACATTGTTTTTGCTCCGTACATTAAAACATTCGTCTCCTCCTAGTTTTGGTCGGTCTTCAATGTGGTCGTTCCAAGCCTATGCAATGTTTGGCTCAGGCTACTGAGGTTGATGTATCAGCATGCAATCCGTGAAGGCTCTTCACATGGAAAACTCACATTCAGGCGACATCCACCTTTGTCTAGACTAGTGAGCTGGGGTCAGCAACTATTGTACTGGGGAGCTTATGATGCCAAAAAACTATTTGGGTGAAAATTTTTGTGTAGTGGTTAAAAATTCTGCAGTTTTCAAGGCCTTCCATGAAGTGGAGTGATGTACTGGGCTCTTCTCTGCAGCAGATTGATGAGCGCTAGCATGAGCGACTTATTTGCTCTGCTGGTCATATTCTTCTCCTCCAAACATAACAGCAGGACCACTACCTATGTTATTTTGAGTCACTCGTTAAGCATTTGAAGTATATTTGCCAGCGCTCCTGGTGCCTACGGGATGCACGTTGTAGCGCCAGGAAGAGTCAACCTCCACCTGGCTACAAAAGGCCTTTTCGAATCTCTGTACTTTTGAAAGTTGCGCAATTCGGCCAACTAATCAATTCCAAGGTGCGCAATTCAAAAATCCTTTCAAAGTGTTGCTCCCCAATGGGGTGGCATTGGTCCAAGCCGAAGACAAACGCCATTGTAGCTCTCTCGTCGTCCACGATGTAGACAAAACAGCATCTGTTTCTTTTATTTCCCTCCATTGCAACGTTAAAGATGCAGTTTTGTGCTACGAGTCTGGCCGTTCGCCATTCTTCCAGGTGATCTCCCACCCCACCCACGGGGCCCCACAGTACCACCACCGCAACCACCACCACCTGTGAACCTCTGTTTTCTATTTCTTGCATTTGGCAAAACATCATATGAATTAGAGCTGAGGGTGTGACTTCTATTCTTTCTCATTCAAACGAAAACGTACATACCTTGGGTCGCCTATTAAGCCCTCCAGTGTCTCAAGGTGCTGACCGCTTAGTGCGCAGCAAAATTTCGCAGAAGTCTCCCTTTTTTACAGGACTTCTTCGTCTTGGTGTTTTTCCACATCTTTTCTCCAAGCCAAGCCCCTTCCATTTTTAAAGAAGCGTCGCATACATGCTCGCTGAGTGGATACCGTGAAGGCTGAACGTTCAGCGGTGGCCGATTAGAATATGCACATCAGATCTATAACATTACAAGGCTTTAAAACATACAATGAGGCAACGACCATCACATTTTCTGAGAGATGCACCTGCTTGAGTGAGGCTCTGGCCTGCAACCATGCGCCTTGTATCCTGACAGCTCCTTTGCGTACTCAACTTACTCGCTGCCTCGACATTTTCTTATCACTCCATAGGCTTTCCAGTGGATACAGCTGAAGCCTACTGGATTAGTGCCTGTGTGGGTATATGAGCAGTTGGCCATAATGGTAGTGGCAAATCAAATGTTCTTCTTGGAGTCTCTTTCGTGCTCGGAGAAATCGGAAACTCTGCCGCAGAGCGACGCCTACTTCTTCATGTAGGGCTTTTTCTGCCCAGAGCATTTGCTTTGTGACCAGTATATACCTCTGCCATTGGAGTTTTGTGGCGTGCAGCTAGACGTTTAGCTGTTGGCCTCTAAAATTTGCCTGGGGTACCAAAACTGCTTGTCCACTTTCCTCGGTGAATATATGAGGGCTTGCCGATTTCATTTACGCAGGAGATTTGCGAAGGAAACTTTGGAGCTTGAACTGAGCACTCACTAATTTGAATTTGTGCTCAGGAAGGGATACACGGTCGAGTGGCCAGCGGCTTTGTCGAGCTGACGCTGAACAATGCAAATAGACAGCTCTGCATGGCAAGACAGCAGCAGCGGTAGTCGGAGCTGCTGTGGTAGCAATATTAATGAGCGAGAAGAGCAGACTGGAGACGCTCACGCGACCCAGGACAACGTCTTACATTTGAAATAGGCCTCCAGACAAATTCGAATCGGCTGCTATGTTTCGGGTCTCAGGGCTTTCCGTTCAGTGCTGGGTGTCTGTGGCTCAGTTCAATGCGGATTCTGTAGTAATTCGTCGCTCCTTTTCCCTAAGCGCTGACGACATCACCGTGCAAGGCAATTTAGTTAGGTGTGCCCATTTTTGTTTAGTTGGTGTCCTTGTCCGTGCCAGTAGTGCTCTCTACGTATCAGGGCCGTTCTCTCTCGCTCTGCTTCCGTCCCCGTTCTGCATCGCTGAACATGCCGCGAATATGTTTTGGCCATCTTTGCTTGGTTGTCTCCTTCCCTTTTGCCGACCTTCGTATCTTGCAGTATCGTGCAGCGCCGTACCGAGTCTTAAACAGATCACAATGCTGTTGCCGAATTTCTTACGTTGGTTTGTGCATATTTTGTATCGGAATGATTCCCTGTAGAAGCTTACCGCCTGTGTGCCTTCGCTTGCGATTCTAGGTCATTACGTTTGCGTGCTTTTGTGCTTAACGTATTCAGCAAGGCGGAATTCGAACAGCTTATTGAATGTGCAAGTCTTTCTGGGTAAGTTTCAACTGCCATTCTATTTGCTGATGCAGTCCCTCACTGGGCGATTTGTGGTTGCTACTTTGACTGTTGACGATGTGGCTGCTGCTGTAATGTGTTGCCGCTGCGTCTTGACTGTGATTTCGTAGTGGTGGCGATCGTGTGGGCCGCAGCGGCACTAGCAGCACTTTTATAATTCATCAAGGACGCATACAGGAGGTTGCGTTGCTCTCTGCTGCTGGTCGACTGCGTCTGCTTCTGTCTGCTGGCTCTGGCGCCTTCATTGATGCAAAAGCCAAGGAGACCGAACAGCTGCTCCAGCAAGCAGGTCAGAAAATACCTGTTGTCACCGGAGCTAGTGCAGGATCCTCAACACCATTCACAGTAGATACGGTGCACCCGAGAGATAAATCAAGGACAGCAACAATAACAGCACCTCGAGCATAAGCAAGAACGGCATTATCTGAAATCGCAGCCGCTAAAACTGTGGATGCATACTGTGTGTGCTTCACTGCAGCAGTCGAGCAGGATACTGTCACAAGGACGCTCAACGATCTCGAAAAACAGCTCAATGACATGGATGTACAATTTTGTAGACCCCTGACTCTAAAACTTATTCTTGTCTAGAAGCTAGTGGGAAAGAAATCCATGGTGAAACCGGCCTTGTGGTGAAGTGCACTAGTGCCATAAGGCGCACCGTGGGGCAACGTGATCGAAAAATATGTCTTAGTCGTTAGCGCGTGGCTACTCATACCGGATGTTGTAAAAGGGCATAAGAAAACGTAGCACAATAATCCGTCGCATTGCATGATCGTGACGCATAATCATGTAGTGCTACATTGTCTTACATGCTACATTCCACAAAATCACATCGGCATAAATTTGTCGGACCTTTGTTCTGGCAACGCATACATTGCACCTGAAAGTTTGAGTTGGAAGTAGACTATATCTAAATACATAGCTTTTTACGTGGTACTGCAGCGCAGCAAGAGGTGACGTACGCAGGTTCGCGTTGCGCAACGTGTTGCAGTGCAATATGTTACGGTGCATCTCAAGATAAAGGTGTGCCGCTTTTGCTTTACAGAAAGAAAGGCAGGAACTACGTCTTTGCGTGGAGATGGAGAAGGAGAAGTCACATATTGAAGCTGCCATACATCGTGAGCGGCCGACTCTGTGCCTCAATTAAGCAGAATATTAACGACGTACGGGCGTGCACACAAATCAGTTAACAAGAAACGCATGACTACACAATCATGTGCCATTTCTCAGTCTTTTATCCATTTTTGTTGTATTAATTTTGCTGCAGAGGCGGACTGGCTGCAAGCAACAGAAACCCTTAGGCAGTTAGAACAGCAACAAGAGGTCCGAATCCCAGTGTCATTCTGCTGTTTCAGCTGACTGCGCTGCCAGTGGTTCTGCAATTTCTAATTATGCCTTACGGACTCTATGTGATGTTACTGTTGCTTCATCTCGCTTTTGCCAGGACCTTTGTTGCTCGTTCTGCTTGTTTCAGAAGCATCGGTCGTCTGTCCGCCGCCTTGCTGCTGCTGCTGCCGAAGCCGAGTCGATGCGAGACGAAGCAGCAACCCAGCTGGCGAATTGTAAACTGAAGCCCTCAGCAAGCCCGAACCCAACAATTCTCATCAGCCTTGGAAAACACCTTGCATAGAAGCGGTAACGGCTGGATGAATGCAACCTTTGGATCTATTGTGTTACCGCAGTATCTCTGGAGCACGCGTCTTGTTCCACAAAAAAGGCTCAGACTGAAAAGCTGGTTTGCGAGGTGCTTTGAACATAGCAAACTGAATGAACTATTCAGTTGCCGGCTTGAACCGCTTCCGTTAGGGCTCCTCAATGAATTCGTTAAATGCATATGCATTCATCGAAAAACGTACACTAGCCTACGAAAGGGCACTTGGGAAACAACTGCACTGACAGGGGGACTGTCGCTTGACTGTTTTTGTGGTCATTACGTTTGCTATCGCTATGGCTTTTGCAGCTGCAATGCCAGGAAACCCGTTTGCGTTTGGAGTCAGGTCTTCTAGCTGAGAGGGCGGAAACCCAGCAGCAGAAATCTGACACTGCAAAGAGAACACTAGAGGAGAAGAAACGGCAAATGCGGCAAATCCGTATGCATTATGCTTAGCAGCCCGTTGCAGGCTCTGACCTCGATTTCAGCAGGACAACATCGTTCGCGCTTGTTAGTAGCAAGGCTGCTTTTCTCGCGAAGCAGCTGCAGTTGGTCTTGACGGGTAGGCATTGAATGCTTAGGTCTGGTTGCTTGCGTTGATGCAGAGAAGGAACTAGAGGACAGCTTGAAGCCTCAGCATGCTGCTGCTGTCGCTGCCTATCGAAAAGCACAGCTGGAACATGCGCAGGTATTCCGTTTTCACTAGATATTGCTGCTTATCATCGTTTCCCCAGTCGTATAGGTTTCTGCCTTTTAATGCCTCCCTTTGCACGTTTTTTTGTGTGTCTACGTCCCTCGATTCAAGAAGATGGCCCATTTCGTCAATTTATAGCCTTCTTCCTCTCCTGAACAATTCCGTTGTTTTCCCCCCAAATGTTTTTAGTATTTGCTTTGCGTTTCTAGCCTGGCGTTCTTTGCAGCTGCAGCAGCAGCTGCAGCAGCTTCAGCAACGCTCAACCCGCTCGGTTGTATCTACAGCAGCACGGCAAGCGGCAATAAAAGAAGAACTTAAAGAAACAGAGCAACAACAAAGAGCAGACGCGGCAGAGTATAAGCAAAACAAACGAAAGGTCGCCAAAAAGCAGGCAACAGCTAGTGCAGCAGCTTTGTCAGCCGTCATGTGACATTGCAGTCCCTTATTTAGCCGCACATTACTATTAAACATAAGCGACACGACTTTCGAGGGTATCTTTTGGTCTTCGGTTGTATGTTTCGGTACAGGCTGAGCTGCTAAGAAAGGAAGTAGAAGAAGCGCAAATGGCGGCAGCGGCAAAAGCAGCTGCCGCAGCAGCAGCAGCGGCAATAGTGAAAGAAATGACAAAACAAATTTCCAGCCTAAAGACGGTTCGACCTTTAAAGCGTACACTGTTAACCCTTTTTAGGCCTTCTTAGTGCCAAGGACAAAGACGTGCTGTAGTATCAAGCCCATGGTTTGGATTTTGTGTTTCAGCCGCTCGAAGAGGTGGTGGAGCAGCAACGGCAACAACAAGCAAGGCTTTCAAACTTACTGCAGCAGCGTAATGCTGCAGCAACAAGTATTCGGACAGCCACAGGTGAGAAGTGGTGCCTTAGTTTCAGCACGAGCAGCAGGTGTTATTTGCTCAGTGGATGCTGAATTTCACTGGCTGTGACCCTTATGGCTTGCCTCAGATGCATTTTCGCGCTGTCTACGGAGCGATGCATTTTGGTCGTTGCACCATTTAGAAGAGATCGCTAAGAGGGAGGGCTGGGACCAAGGTGGAGGCATTGCAGCACCTTTAGCTAGCTTTCTGCACGTAAGTAATCGCGATGCATCCAGATGTAGGGAAAGGGACATACATGCTCACCACGACTTCGATGCATGGGTTTGGTTGCTCTTTTTGTGTTTGTGAAGGTCGATACTGAGTACCATCGCGCCGTTGAATCTGTAGGGGGATACTGCTTGTTTCACTTCGTTGTTAAAGATTCTGCAAAGGCGTTGGAGGCAGTGGCACGTCTCAAGCAGCAGCAGCAGGAGCAGAAGGGTTCGCTTCTACAACGGAAGTGCTGTGTCTCTGTCGTCCCCATCAAGGAGGTAGCTGAGCAGCAGCAGCGTCAAAATAGCCGGCGGCACCAACAACTGCAGCAGCGTCTTCTCGAGGAAGGTGTCGCAATGCCACTCACGGAAGTGCGGATCTGCTGAAACTGCTGCAACATTGCTGCCGGTCACCAGATGTGTGTATTGCTGCCGCTAGTAAGCAGGTCTTTACTGCCGCATTGAACAACTCGAAATCACTGGCCATTTTCCCTGCATTTTCTGTGTTTCGTTAATGCACAGTGTATTCAGATTTTGCCTGAGGCAGCAGGAGAGCATGCGACTGCTCTCGAGACGTACGTGCATACTGTCTTCTCTCGCTCCCTTCTCGTGCCTTCTCTGGATACACCCGAGGTTCAGAGGTGGAATAGTATGGGTGAGCACGCTAGCAAGCAAGTCTCTCTAGGTGCTTTTGGCACATGCACAGCAAGGGCGAGCAATCAAGGGGCGACCACACGCTACAAAGGCTTTGTGGCAAGACATCCGAAACACAAAGAAGTTGCCACATGCAAGAATTTAGTAAACAAGTTGCCTATTTTTGTCTTGCTGAAAATTCAACTAACGTTTCCTCGTAGGTTTCGACTGTGTCAACATAGAAGGGGATGTATCCTTCGCTTCTGGTGCCATGAGAGGAGGCGGGCACCCCAAGGGAGACAAACTTGGAACTTATTTCGCGTAAGCTGTAGCATAGTGTTTATGATCTCTGAAGGGAAGCGCCTGTCAAATCTTGGGCGTCTGGTTTTCAGATGTTGTTTGTGCAACTTTACAGCACTTCAGTACCCGGTGCCTAGCCATCTGAAAGTGAAGAGCAATCACATCAGAGATGCGTACCTCCACAAGCACTAAGAAAGACCGTTCTTTTTATGTTGATGCATGCGTAGCCGGACGTTGGAACTATCCTTTGTTCTTGCTGCTCCATTTCCTTGTTTGTTTGCTTGCTTTTGTGTGTGTCTGTGTGCATGTCTCTGTCTGCTCTCTTCTGGGTCATTTGATGTGTATTTCAGCTTGCGCGAATATAAGAAGAAACATAAGGACATTAGTGTCGAGTTAGATTGCCAGCAGCAAATGCTTGTACAACTGCAGAAAGTAGGTGAAGTGGCTTCTGCTACTTCTGTAGCCCTCCTTGATGCTGCGATGGTCTTTTCGGGAAATTCAAATGCGGCAAAGGCAGCAGTATATTCACGACGCCTGCTGTAGTATTTCGTATGCCTTTGTTTGTTTCATCTCAGAGACACAAGGAACTGCTGCAGCAAGAGCAAATATTGATAGAAAAGCGAATGGAAGCTTATCATAACGCCGAGACAGCATTAGCAGAGCAACAGCAAAGCGAGATGTACGCACAAACCGAATCTACCTGGTGCAACCCACCTCCAGGGGCTGCAGGTTATGTATTCGATTGCTGCAGGTATCTCTGCGGTACGCAATCCATGCTGATGGATCCACTGCTGATGCGCTCCATTCTTCACAGGGCCCACCGCGCTGCCACTTCCCTACTCTCCGCTTTGAAAGAAGAAGAAACGGCAACCGCAACGCGTGCTGCAGCTCGCAAACAACTTGTTCAGTCGTGAGCCTCGGGCCCTTCATACAAGTCGTCGGCCTCGCCAGGATTTTTTCAGATACTTAGAGAAGAGGGAAACAGACACGGCATTCTAAATGAACACTAAGAGTCCAACGAACGCTTTCGCTCCATTGAAAAAGCCCAACTTTTGGAAAATATGGTCTAGGACCGTGGAATTGCGGATTCGTTGCATTTCAGCCTACGCCACGAAGCCTTACACGCCAGGCAGCCTGCGCTAACTGCGGCAGAAGAGCAGCAGTTGAAGCAGCTACCACAGCTGCTCCAGCAGCAGCAAGAACAGCTGCTGCAGCTTCTACGCCGAGTTGAAGAGACAGCTGGATCCATCAGCAAGGCAGAACAACTACTTGAGGTCTCTTTGCGAAGAGCGATCGACCGTGTAATTAAGCTCTGAGTCCAAATTACGAACCCCTGTCAGACCCTGCGCCTGGCGCTCCGCGAACCAATCGTAAACCCTAAAAGCAGGATGGTTTCGATAACGCATCTTGACACACCCTACTTTCTGCGCAATTTTATTTCATTGCAACGATGAGCATCAAATTTTGCTCTTTGTTTTCTTAATTTCGAGCCTGCAGATGGAACGAGAAGTGCGGGAGGAGGAGGGTGAGAGCTTAGGGTTCAGGGTTTGCGAACGTGTGCAAGCAGAAGCATACGCTTTACTGAAATCTCGACAGCAGGTGCGGTAACCAAGCTAAACATTTAGGGCTCATGGCTAGAATCGTATCCTCGGCTATTTTGCTGCAGAGCTGCTTATTGATTTTAAGGACATTCTGCGTGCACTGATGTGGTGACCGCAGCAAGAAGATACAGCTGCAGAATTGGAAGCGTCCCTGAGAGCCCTCGAAGTTCGTCAAAGCGCAGGGCTTCAGAATGCGTAAATTTATCCGAGGCTTGGGGATTAGGCATACATATCTTTAGGATTGCTTAGGAGTTGGCTTCTTGGTTCGTGGAAAACCACTTGCCTTTCCAGAGCCTGCATGCTAGTCCCAAGTTGCAGTGTCTGGAGTTAAGGCGATTGATGTATCTGCAGAATGAGATGGCATCTGTACGTCGCCGACAGGATCTTGCTGATACCTCTCTGCAATCGCTGCTGCAACAGCTCATGGAGGAGACTGCGTTGTTGCAGCAGGCCCAACTCAGAGTCGAAGGTTCTAGGCAAGTTTGTCTCTGCAGTGCTTGTCCTGTCCCCGCAACTTTCTGCTACACTTTTATCTCAGTTGTCTAGGTTTTTATCCGTCACTGGTTGTCAATGTTTCGTTGCATCGTGTTCTCCAGTGTTCCGCAGTCACTTTTCACATATTTCTTCTTCTTCACTGCCCTGAGTCGGTTACCTTAATTCCGTGCTCGCTACCGTAACGTGCATGTGTTTGCTAAACAAAGACGTCTGCAGGCAGATCTTGCATCACTGTTGGCCGCAAGCTCTGCTATTGCTGTTCCCCTTGCTGCTTCAACGGATGTTAGCCGCGAGGCTCTCCGGGGGAAGCTTGAAGAAATTAAAAAAGTACGTAATAAATATATAGATGAAGCAAAACTCCAAGACAGAAACAGATGTATGCAAAACAAATTTCGCAAAAAAGGGATGCAGAGTCAGGTAGACAGAGACACAAAGGCACACCGGGACTGGGAAAACGGCAGAATAGGTAGCAAGAAACAGGAATAATGCAGTAACTTACGGGCTGAGCCGCCGCACATATCTAGCCTTCAAATATTTGCTTTTTGTGTGAAAAAACACAGCGTCTCTCACAATTCACAGATGTTAATAGGAAGGCCATTGCTGAGCTGTCTACCATTACAGGTAGGTGCTGTTGCTACGGCTTGAATATTGCCATTTGCTCCCAGTGAAGCCGTTGCTGCGTCTTCTACTACTACATAGCAATTGCCATGTGCTCTCCATTTAAGCATGTATTGTTGTTACTTCCCACGAAGCCGGTCTTGTTGCTCACACTTCCAGATGCTTTGCTCGGGGGGAATTATAGCCGCCGCTGCTGTTGATTTCACTGTAATACCAGCAGCAAAAAAACCGCGGCCAAGGTGTATAATATTTTTGCAGACGACTTCAAATCTTTAAAACGCCGCGAGATGTTGCAACGAGAGGCGTATCAGCTGGTGCAGCAACAGCTGCAGCAGCTGCAAATGCGGCGGCAACAACTGCTGCAGCAGCAGCTTCGTCGAGTTGACGCAGAATTTTCGGCTCTATTCAAGCAGCTCGTACCTGGGGGGACAGCTCGACTCGTAAGTGCTGAATATTTCGGAATAAAGGTTTGGACAGTACGCCTGCGCGAATCCGATGACTCTGTTTTCACTGCCGCTCCATAGCCGTCGTTGCTGCCGTTGCACTAAGTGCCGTGGCTGATGTTACGCTAATTTCTGCAGGAGTTTCAACTTTTGTTGCTGCCGCAGGAATTGATTGAAGACCCATGCGCTACATCAACTGGCGAAACCGCTGAGCTGAGTGGTGTCGAAATTCAAGTGGACTTCAATGCAGCGGGGAAAAGTGCAGAAAGCTTACCAATGCAGCGACTGTCAGGTATACAGCGATATTGCCGCCGCTCTTGCAGCTGCCGTCCCTAACGCCGGAAATAGCGTTGGCATTGGGCCAAAACACTTTTCAGTGGCTTCTCTGGAGCATTTGCAAACATGTGAAAATGACGAGAGCAGCGCGATAAGCAGCAATAGTAGCACCGAGGAGCAGCAGCATATATATATGGTAATATAGAGCGATAGGGAAAGAAAGAGTAGGAACGAGGACAAAACCAGAAGAGCGATCTGTTGCTCTTGCTGGTGCAGTTTCTGGCCAACGTCTCTGTGCAAAAGTATGTTGCAGGAGGACAGAAGGCCCTGGTTGCCGTGGCATTACTGCTTGCACAGCAAATGGCTTCCGGCGGCGAGGGAGGCAGGGAAGGTTTGCTGCTTCTGGATGAACCTGACTCCGCTTTAGATGAGACTCACGCAAGACATTTGGCAGAGGCTCTCCTCAATTCAACTCGAAATCTGGGCTGCCAGATCATTCTTACTACTTTGAGGTTAAACTCTACACTCTGTTTTTCAACAAGCCCCAAGTGTACAGATGCTGCAAGATCGGTTCGAAGATGCTTTCACGGCGCCTCTGCTCTAACCGTTAAAAGTTGACAGTTCTGTGTGTTCTATTCTCAGAAAGGAACTGCTGATTTGCGGTGATAAGTTTTGGCTCGTGCAGCAGCATCAGAGAGCATCTCAGGCGACGGAAATATCTGAACAAGAAGCGTCAGCAGTTTTCATAGACTTGCCTCAGATGCAGCAGCAACTGCGACAGCAGCCGCAGCACCAGCGGATGTTGCCGCACCGCCATCTACCAGACTGCGTAGAGTCTCGCGTGTAATTAAGCAAATAATGCGGCGTGTCAAAATTTGGGGGCAGCTTAAACGCAGCGTACGCATCGTCTTTGAGAGGTCGCCGTAGTGTCTGGTGAACTCATCTGCTATCCGCGTTTACCTGCTTGTTTCACCTTCTGAAGGACTTGCAGATTGAAGGAGGTCTGCCTGCATTCACGAATTAATTAGCCATCGAGTGAGCTCATTGATGCATTCCACAAATATCTGCGTAGCAATAAATTGCTTCTGCCTTCTCTCCAGCGTTGTTACACAAAGATGCACGTTGCCAGAAGCGGCAGCCGCCACATTCCTGCAAGTCAGTTCTTTCTATCGCAGCTTCTGCGGCTGTTGTCCCCTATCTGGTTAGCTACGGAGCAGTTCTACATAGTCGGCTAGCTTTATACCTATGGAGCGTGCCGCGGAAATCTAGCTAGGGTCGAAACCACAAAGATAGCAAGCTGCACAGCAGTTCCGCTGTGTGGCGACTTGTTTGCAATGACTTTTTGGCGGAGTGTAAAGGCGTTTGAATGCTTGTAAAGTCGAATGATATTTCAACCATATAGACAAGTACGTGGTAAGCTAGCCAGTAGCCAATAAGAGCTTGTTCATGTCGGGAGGATCCCTTGTGCTGCTCTGGAAATCGGTCCATTACAGTGCCTGCATCGTGGCAGCGAACTCGTAGCCAGTGAAACGGGGAATACGGTGTTTCCTAGTGGCGCAGCTGTGAGCAGGCCACCGTGATGAGGCTACGACTTCGCACCGGCACAACCGATTCTTCAGAAGCGGGCGTCATCTTATTCTCCTGCGACGCCAGCTCATGAGGCCATACGGCGTCATCGGATACCACTCTGTCAGAGGCTTAAGTTGCCTTGTCACTTCCTCTCGCTTTTTATGAAATACCTTGCGTGCATGCTCATTCACAGCAGCCACAGCCTCTTCGGAAGCGACTCTATAACTGATGTTTTCGGAGGACCGCAGTTGGAAGGAAAAGGCAGCTGACCCAGGAACGGTTCCTCTTGCGCAACGCCGCCGCCTAGGACGGCCAGCTTGGCAATGTCCGGCACACAGTGATGCGGCTCTTTCACTGTGTGGCTAGAATGCATTCTAACTGATGAAGCGCGGAGAATGAAGTGAAATCTGTTCAGGTCAGGGTTGTATTATGCGGTTCCATCGCACCCCGATTCACATAGCCAAGCGGCCTACGTCCTGACGCTATCCAAAAGCTGCACGATTTCCAGCGCTTCAGGGGTACCTAGGAACAAAACAATATTCGGCGTGAAAACTTCTTGATTTAGACTTATCCCAGACTACTAGGAAGGCACTGTAACAAGAAGAGCTGGAAGAGGACTGATAAGGGTGCAAGCCACTGAAAGGTAGTGAGTGAGGCGAGAGTACCGCGTACGCTGTAGGAAGGCAACGTGCTAGTATCATTCTCCATCAAACAAAACGCCATATTGAAACGCAAGCATATTGCATACCAGTGCTTAACAACCGGCATTTGAAATTTATTTGCGCGTATCGTGTTCTCGACACATCTGTCACGTGCCGCCTAGCACCAGCATATAAATATGGATTATCGGGTGCTAATCTGAACCCATATATCCGTTCCAGAAACCCAATTTTCACACAGTGCCCAGTGGTCCAAAGGGGTCCTGACCAAATTTCAAAGGGGTCCTGAGCAAGTCTACGCCTACGCTGAGTACATTGTTGGGCTGCCGCAGTTCTGCATCTTGCCAAGCGCTGCAACTGTGTACTTTAAGGTACAGCAGAAGCTAAATGGCTAAATGCTGCACGTGACTCAGCATCATCGCCTGCAATCTTACAACCGATAGAGGAACCAGCAGAAAAAAAGCGTGATTTACTTTCTGGGAGCGAAATATAAGAAAAGCTTTGCCTCAAGAGCTTATCACGAAGGGGACGGGCAGTGCACACGGTAACTTTCCCTGACATGCATTCAACACATAAGCGTGTCCACGTCAGACATTGTCCACTCATCTAAGGAAGCATCGAAGAGTTGCTTTTAAAATCCTTTGATTTATTGTAAGGTATTCTAAGAAACAAGAATTCAGGACTTGGTACTCCCAATACTTGTGTCCACATCCGGTCTCGTTCGTTTTAGGGAAACAGCCAAGCATTGTTTCAAAAATTCTTTTTATTTGTCGTAAGCCATTTCGAAAGAGGCGAATTCACAGCAGAAGCCAACAAGAACACCGAGCACATGCCACGCACCTTCATCCAATGCCGTGAAGAAGATCGTCCATTATTTGTACCAGCACTCGATCTAGCTTGTAATTTGGCACTAGCAATTCAAAAACGTTTCGCTTTTCTAATGCTTGATTGGAAAATTTTCACGCTGAATTGCGAGTCTCGGTATGGCAAAATGATTCTTCCCCGAAATCAACATCTATTACAAGTGACTTCAAGATTCCAATGTAGATACTGACTGCATATTTCGAAGGTTGATAACAGAATTATTAAACATCAAAGACAAGTGCCTTCAAAATTTTTAGTGTATAGAGTGGTTTGCATAATCCAAAGATATCGGAGGAAAATCGCTGATGGAAAGAGGATCTGGCGAAGTTTTTCATCGAAAATAGACTGGTCAGCATGCAAGTTGAAAGGATCTAGGCTCACCGGTGACATTCGCTCTTTAAGCAGTGTGGGTGAGAATGCCTAGCGGGAGGCTTTCTCTTTGGGCCTGTTTCTTGTCCACAGAGAAGGCTGGCTAACTGACTGGTGGCCTCGTAATTTCACTCCGACAAGATATGAAGCTACACGAATCTTTGATAAGGCGCTCTAAAACATATGAAGAGCAAGAAAGAAAAAGAGGAGAATAAGCAACCGCATGAAGGGCAGGAGCGAATTCCAGCTGAGCAAGCCAACGTGATGCTGGCTCAACAGGCGCCCCAGATGATTGCGCCACGGGTTGCTAGACTCCTTTGCCCCACCTCCAAATGCTACAAGGAAAGCGCAAAGCCGAGGCTAGGGCGCCCCTGGAAAAATTACAACGCGAGGCACACGCTAACAGGGCGTACCTACCAGGCATACTGCAGGGATTCATCAGCATGCTGGCTTTGCCGGGTTTGGGTAAGCCTCCAATCAATGACTTACTCTAGACGGTCAAGGAGAACTCCTATGAGCGTATGTTCAGCATTGCAGCGGGGCCTCTACAGCCTAGCCCCGCATTCCAATACTCGCCTCCCTACAAGGCGACTTTGATGAGGAAGAGTCACCTGGGCCCACAGCCATCCCCCAATAAAAGCACTTGGAAGAATGGATACAGGCAGATAAGGCGCGGAATCTATCTCTGCAGATAGTTGTGGTGTTTAGGACCATCAAACAACATTCCCAGACACTTTGCCTGGAGAATTTCCGCCGAGACACAAACTTATTATCACATCCTACTGGTGCCAGGCAGCTTCCCGACCAACGCGCTGTCTACAGGATATCACCGGGCTTGTTCGCATTCCACAAACAAAGAATAAATAAGCAGTCAGCAAATGGATGAAGAACCCCGGCTTTTCATCGTATTTGTTCCAAGACCATTATGGCTAACAGGCGCAAGACGGTTGCGCAGTCAGCAAAGTGCGGCAAGTATTAAACTGCCATACTACTCATCTTGACTTTTTGCTGCCCGCTATTCAACATGCATATAATTTAGACAGATAAAAGTTTTTGTGTATTTGATGTTGAAGCGGGCTTTATCATATTCACATGACCAAACGGGGCCGGTGAAATATTGTGTTTTGCTCTGCCTTGGGACTGTTTAAATCAAGATCAGACGATCTGGTGTCGGAATTGCCCCAGCTATGTGCCGAGCTAATATGAAGATTTGTCACCAACCTCTACGAGGTGAGCCACTGCCTACTGCGATTACAACTCCATGACATGCAGTTCCGGCTTTTGCCCATGCCTGAAACCTCTGCAACAGGCTTTCAGGACGCTTTTCAAGCATTGATCCTCTTGGGAGTTCCTTAAATGCAAGTTCGCTCGAGAAGAATTCACTTACTCCGACTACGTCAACAGCTCTCAGGGTGTAAAGTGCAGTGAGCAAGGCCTCGCCTCACTCCTGTATGATACCTGTAGTACGCAGGCACTACAATAGGCCTTGCTGGTGACCTTAAGAAGATAGCTAGCTGGTGACCTATAAGAAGTTAACACGCTGAACGAGGACAGGTACTTCTTAGTAGTAGCGAATTTAGGCAGTTTGTCAACAAACTAGCATGTATAAACTAGACGTGTCTGTGAATATCTACCGATTGGGGCTGGCGATAGCGCCGGTATCGGTGCGGGCATCCTCCTCATAGAGCCAAGGAAGCAACAATCCTAATTGGAGAGACTTTCAAGGAAAATAAATTTCAGAACTTGAGAAGATGACTACATTTGGTTGAGTTTTTGGTAGATGCGTCAAAGGTAAAAGCCTTTCATAGGGCGCCCTCTTCGTGGGCCAGGTGGCTTTAGTGCACAGGCACTACAATAGAGCTTGCAGGTGACCTATAGAAGATAGCTATCTGGTGACCTACAAGAGGTCATAACACTGAACGAGGACAGGAACCCCTTACTAGGATCGAAGTAAGCCAATTTGGCGGCGAATTAGCGTGTATACACTAGACGTGCCTGAAAGTACCCGGAGATTGGGGCTGGCGATAGCGCCGACACCGATGCAGGCCTCCTCCCCACAGGCCATAGGAGGCGAGAACCCCGAGTGATGTGGATTTTCAAGAGAACACATTTTGAAGAAAACTAAAAATGACTATATTTCGTTATAGTTGGACTACTGTTTCAAGGAAATACGCCGAAGGTAGACGATTATCATAGGCCCCTACTCGAGGGGGCAGGTAGCAGCGTAGTCGCAGCAGTAGGTGCTGTGCACCAAATTTGGGGGCTGTTCCGGGATTCGAATCTTTGTTCTTTCCGGACTTGGGAGTAGAAATACTATGTTTCAATGACTCGCACCTAGATATCTTCGCTCGATAAGGGAGGCATCTCCGCAACGGACGCGTTATGG